TCAAACTCTGTCACAGTAGACAATACCTACTGTACCAGTGGTACTCCTGACAGTCAAACTCTGTCACAGTAGACAATACCTACTGTACCAGTAGTACTCCTGACAGTCAAACTCTGTCACAGTGGAAAATACATACTGTACCAGTGCTACTCCTGACAGTCAAACTCTGTCACAGTAGACAATACCTACTGTACCAGTGCTACTCCTGACAGTCAAACTCTGTCACAGTGGAAAATACATACTGTACCTGTGCTACTCCTGACAGTCAAACTCTGTCACAGTGGACAATACCTACTGTACCAGTGCTACTCCTGACAGTCAAACTCTGTCACAGTGGAAAATACCTACTGTACCAGTAGTACTTTGACAGTCAAACTCTGTCACAGTGGACAATACCTACTGTACCAGTGCTACTCCTGACAGTCAAACTCTGTCACAGTGGACAATACCTACTGTACCAGTAGTACTTTGACAGTCAAACTCTGTCACAGTGGACAATACCTACTGTACCAGTGGTACACCTGACAGTCAAACTCTGTCACAGTGGAAAATACCTACTGTACCAGTGGTACTCCTGAGTCAAACTCTGTCACAGTGGACAATACCTACTGTACCAGTAGTACTTTGACAGTCAAACTCTGTCACAGTGGACAATACATACTGTACCAGTGGTACTCCTGACAGTCAAACTCTGTCACAGTGGACAATACCTACTGTACCAGTGGTACTCCTGACAGTCAAACTCTGTCACAGTGGAAAATACATACTGTACCAGTGCTACTCCTGACAGTCAAACTCTGTCACAGTGGAAAATACCTACTGTACCAGTAGTACTTTAACAGTCAAACTCTGTCACAGTGGACAATACCTACTGTACCAGTGGTACTCCTGACAGTCAAACTCTGTCACAGTGGAAAATATCTACTGTACCAGTGGTACACCTGACAGTTAAACTCTGTCACAGTGGACAATATCTACTGTACCAGTGGTACACCTGACAGTCAAACTCTGTCACAGTGGACAATATCTACTGTACCAGTGGTACACCTGACAGTCAAACTCTGTCACAGTGGACAATACCTACTGTACCAGTCAAACTCTGTCACAGTGGAAAATACATACTGTACCAGTGCTACTCCTGACAGTCAAACTCTGTCACAGTGGACAATACCTACTGTACCAGTGCTACTCCTGACAGTCAAACTCTGTCACAGTGGACAATACCTACTGTACCAGTAGTACTTTGACAGTCAAACTCTGTCACAGTGGACAATACCTACTGTACCAGTGGTACACCTGACAGTCAAACTCTGTCACAGTGGACAATACCTACTGTACCAGTGCTACTCCTGACAGTCAAACTCTGTCACAGTGGACAATACCTACTGTACCAGTAGTACTTTGACAGTCAAACTCTGTCACAGTGGACAATACCTACTGTACCAGTGGTACACCTGACAGTCAAACTCTGTCACAGTGGACAATACATACTGTACCAGTGGTACTCCTGACAGTCAAACTCTGTCACAGTGGACAATACCTACTGTACCAGTGGTACTCCTGACAGTCAAACTCTGTCACAGTGGAAAATACATACTGTACCAGTGCTACTCCTGACAGTCAAACTCTGTCACAGTGGAAAATACCTACTGTACCAGTAGTACTTTAACAGTCAAACTCTGTCACAGTGGACAATACCTACTGTACCAGTGGTACTCCTGACAGTCAAACTCTGTCACAGTGGAAAATATCTACTGTACCAGTGGTACACCTGACAGTTAAACTCTGTCACAGTGGACAATATCTACTGTACCAGTGGTACACCTGACAGTCAAACTCTGTCACAGTGGACAATATCTACTGTACCAGTGGTACACCTGACAGTCAAACTCTGTCACAGTGGACAATACCTACTGTACCAGAGGTACTCCTGAGTCAAACTCTGTCACAGTGGAAAATACATACTGTACCAGTGCTACTCCTGACAGTCAAACTCTGTCACAGTGGACAATACCTACTGTACCAGTGCTACTCCTGACAGTCAAACTCTGTCACAGTGGACAATACCTACTGTACCAGTAGTACTTTGACAGTCAAACTCTGTCACAGTGGACAATACCTACTGTACCAGTGGTACACCTGACAGTCAAACTCTGTCACAGTGGAAAATACCTACTGTACCAGTGGTACTCCTGAGTCAAACTCTGTCACAGTGGACAATACCTACTGTACCAGTAGTACTTTGACAGTCAAACTCTGTCACAGTGGACAATACATACTGTACCAGTGGTACTCCTGACAGTCAAACTCTGTCACAGTGGACTATACCTACTGTACCAGTGGTACTCCTGACAGTCAAACTCTGTCACAGTGGAAAATACATACTGTACCAGTGCTACTCCTGACAGTCAAACTCTGTCACAGTGGAAAATACCTACTGTACCAGTAGTACTTTAACAGTCAAACTCTGTCACAGTGGACAATACCTACTGTACCAGTGGTACTCCTGACAGTCAAACTCTGTCACAGTGGAAAATATCTACTGTACCAGTGGTACACCTGACAGTTAAACTCTGTCACAGTGGACAATATCTACTGTACCAGTGGTACACCTGACAGTCAAACTCTGTCACAGTGGACAATATCTACTGTACCAGTGGTACACCTGACAGTCAAACTCTGTCACAGTGGACAATACCTACTGTACCAGAGGTACTCCTGAGTCAAACTCTGTCACAGTGGACAATACCTACTGTACCAGTATTTAACGCAGCCCATGTGAGATGAATATGACAGAAACTCTATTTCAGATGAATTAATATATATAATCTAATCATAAAACATGTTTTGTGTTTATTCTTGTTCTGATATGAAAATGTTTAAGCAATAATCATAAATAAAAAAGAGTTCAATTATAACATCCAATACAGACAGTGAGACCTAGAAAAATTTCTACAGCTACCTCTTTCCTATACTGCTCACTCCCAGAATTCTTGTGTAGTATATTGAACTATACAGTTTTTACCATGTACATTCTGCAGTGAGCCCAGGGGGCTAACATATAAAAGATATGGTACAAAGTAGGGAGATGGGCATATTTCATGGTAACGCTTTAATAGTTGCTAGTATTTCTATCAAAACTGCAACAGATGTGGGCAGGGTTATTACCAGACATGAACCTATTGTAGTACACGCACATTCTGATTCATACTACAACTTATATTAAAATGAATACATGTAAAATGTTCAACTTTCACAGTTGAAGTTTCAAGATATTTATGGATAATGAGAACTGAAGAAAACAGACATTAGGCTTTTTTTATATAATTTTTTCACATGTATCCTGAAATCTTCTGACCAACAGGCTATGTGCCTTCAATAAAGAGGGGAGTTGTATTAACCCTTACAAATGTTAAAATCATTTGCATGATTTTAGTGTGAAGATAAATGATGAAAATGATGTGAATTTGATAAAGAATATTTGATGAATGTATAAAATGTCATTGGAAAAAAATATCGAGGACATCTTTAGTATGAATACCATTGTACTGTCAAGACTAAAGAATCCTGATTGTTAATAAAATACACTCATCATTACTGTACCGGTGTTTAACTGGGCTGTTGTTCATGGTGGTCCCACTTTTGGCTAGATCACAAAGATTAAATTTCTCACATGTCTGTACAATGGAATTCATGTTTAATAGTATATAAAATTCATTTCCTCTGATTTTGATCCACTATGACATGCTTGCTGTGACTATGAAAAGAACAAGACTAAATCACCCCACAACTATGACCAACTGTACCCACAGCAATGTAACATAGTTTTAATTGAGTAATGACTTGATGTATAGAAAGTCAGAGTATTATTGTGGATCAAATTACAATACAGTAATAGGAGATTTAAAAAAACAAATTATTGTGATAATGCTGTGATTGGCAGTCCCTGGTAAGATCTCAATCCATAAATGTATGATAAATTTTGGCCCCATACACGTTATCTTACCGAGTCACTGAAAACATCAAAAGGATATAAAACAAACTATTATATTAAACATTGTCCAATCAATTCAGAATTAATTGCTTTCTAAGAAAATGACATTCACATTATCAAATATATCAAAATTGTCTTCTACATCTAAAATTTCCTTCGTGTTCAAGCAATTTTGGTGGTGCAGTGGTAACACACTCTTCTTTCACCAAGGCACCAAGGTTCAATTCTTACAATGAACATAGGACATGGGGTCACCTGCCTGTCCAAATGAATTTTCCCCAGGTACTCCAGTTTCCTCCTACAGTAAGACCCCTTACATGCTTCCATCAACAAGAGTATTTAATGTAAGTTTGAAAATCTTGTTTTGCAACTGTTGTAAAATAAATAAATGCTGATGGCGTGGACAGTAAAAAAAAAAAAAAAAGACAAAGATTTCAACGATAAATCCTAATTTGCATCCTTCAGTGATCTAGAATTGCCTGGTTCACTTATTCAGATCTCTTTATGATCCCCTAATGCATGACATTATATAGCTGTACCATGACATCACAGTAACCATAAAACACAAGGTCACAATCAGCCTTTGTTGGGAGCAATTATGTCCAACTTAGAAAAATAAACAACAAAAATAACTCTGTGTTTCTAACCACTGATTCAAAAACAGAATCACTTTTCTTGCCAGAGAAATGTCAATCCTCTGGCACAGGAAACAAGTTTCACTTAAGCTGATGAGAAATGCTGAATTCACCATTCAGGCCTAGATTTTTTTGTAATACAAATTGAAGTACAACTGATAGACAACTCTGGAAAAGTAAACTATATTTATCAAAGAGTATGGTCAAAGTAAGGTACAACTGATAAGAAATTAACAACATTAGATATCTGACAATGAACTCTACAATAAGTCATTACAATACCATAAAGAAAATCAATTTCATTGAAGACGTATATCTAGGATAAAGCCCTCAGCAAGACTTCATTCATGTCTGAATAACAAATACCAGAAATTAAGCACCAAGCGAATTTTAATTCAGTGACGGTATGTGATCAAAGTTCCATGTAACTTCAATTGTCGGCCATTTTGTTTCCAAGCACATCTTCATGGCAGATACATCTGTGATAACCTGAACATCAAGTTCTTCTGGAATGGTTGCCTTTCCACTTTGGTAACGGACCTAGCAAGATACAAAAGGTATAACAATGATGATCAGTGACCAGTATTGTATAGACTATTTAGTTACCCTAAATGATAATCAGTGACCAGTATTGTATAGACTATATAGTTACCCTAAATGATAATCAGTGACCAGTATTGTATATACTATATAGTTACCCTAAATGATAATCAGTGACCAGTATTGTATAGACTATATAGTTACCCTAAATGATAATCAGTGACCAGTATTGTATAGACTATTTAGTTACCCTAAATGATAATCAGTGACCAGTATTGTATAGACTATATAGTTACCCTAAATGATCACTAGTGACCAGTATTGTATAGACTATTTAGTTACTCTAAATGATAATCAGTGACCAGTATTGTATAGACTATATAGTATCAATATACCATTTAAGATTGCATCTACATAGAATGGTACAACTATTTTTGAGGTAGAAAATCCTGAAAACATTCTTCTCCTTACACAATTTGTATATCCAAAATTTCAATCAATAAATTAATATTATTAATGCTCATAAATAAATGGTTTAATACTTCTTGTGTCAGGTTATTCTTGACAGACAGAATCACAGAATAAAGAAAAAATCCTATGGCTTTATATAGTGATCAACCCTATCCTTGGACTTATAATATCTCAATAAAAAATCTGCATATTATGCAGGATTTTACAGTAATGTGGAAAAAGTTGTTTCGCAATTGATGTGAAATAAAAATTTTGTGCCACTTTCACTTTGTATAGTCTTTTTCTTCATTCATCATTGCTATAAATTTGCAATTGTTGAAGAAGCAAAAAAAAAAAAAAAAAATAGAGAAAAAAAAAGAGTATAAAACTGACATGAATATATTTCCAGCAAACACGCCAAGATAAGAACAGCACATTTCTATCTCATTGCTTAACATGCATCTACGACAGTAGTAAAAATATGGGAGAGGCACACTTCATCTGTTAGTTAAGTATGTTAATAACACCAGATTTTAGGATGGTTCACTTTTACCTTGTTTTCTATACATGATCTGGCAAGTCCATTATAATGATACACTGTAAAAGATCGTGGAGTATCACTAGTGCTCTCCCCTGGATAGAACTCTTCCATGAAGCAGTGCATGGTGATTATACCCAGACTCTCAGCATCAAGTTTTGTGGTCATGATGTCGACACTGAAAAATAAATGTGCAAAGTAATACACATGTATCAGCAACGATGAAGTTTAAAAGAAATTAAAAATATCACTACATAACATATCAGTCAAATGCAGAGAGGTTGAATTTAAAAAAAGCATTTTCAGATTTAAAGGATAAAAAGCATCTTAGTCAAAATATTTCTGAATTAAGGATGTGATTCATAAACATTAAATCTAACTCTTTATCTTGTTAATTTGAAATCTCTCTAATCTGGTCATTCAAACATTGAAGAATATGATAAAGAAATATGACTCAATAGTATGATCTAAGGTTGTTGGAAGTTTCTAGCTTAGTTAATCATATCAATGTTTAAAAAACTGAAGTATGAAAACTACAATTTTACTTACTATTCCTTCTCAGACACAAGATTTAAGGCACTCATAAGATCTGCCAGCTGAATCGTAGAAATAAATCCATTTCCTGTCCAACGCAATACAAAGTCATTTACAAAAGGTCCAGACAAACCAGAGATTTGATAATAAAGAAAAACATGAGTTTTTTGTCCACATTTTACCAGTAATCATCCATCTTGATATACCAAAGGGAAGATGAGGAAAACAATTGATGCTACAAAATAGAGGAACTGGTAGCATTCTAGATGAAAGTTTTATGTTAAATTCTAACATTTTAATTTTTGTTCTAAAATATTGAAGAATTGATTTTGGTTCTCACTTTGAAGATTTTCAATTGTAAACATGAACAATTATTTTATATGTCGCAAAATATGATACTGGTAATAAATATTACTGTAGAGAGATTTTTTCTACTTTCAACTGTTTGTAAGTATCCCTAAATCTGAGAAAGGCTCATTGGAAAAGAAAAATCCTGAATATAGTAAACAGATCATTAACAAGCAGATTAATTCATTAGAAAGGGCCATACCTTCAGGATCAAACGACTGGAATATCTGTTTAGCATTGAGATGAGGTGATTCTCTTACAACTAGATTCTCCTCCTGAAAACAATTGTAGATATTTCTGTTTGATGTGCTACTTTATTTACTACATACTAGGTTGTCAGACCATCTCACAATCTCCAAATTGGTATCACCAACTTACAGGGGACATGTTCTATGTCACGTCTGAACAGGGATCATCATCTTACAAGGGACATGTTCTATGTCATGTCTGAACAGGGATCACCATCTTACAGGGGACTTGTTCTATGTCACGTCTGAACAGGGATCATCATCTTACATGGGACATGTTCTATGTCACGTCTGAATAGGGATCACCATCTTACAGGGGACATGTTCTATATCACGTCTGAATAGGGATCTTCATCTTACAGGGGACATGTTCTATGTCACGTCTGAACAGGGATCACCATCTTACAGGGGACAAGTTCTACGTCACGTCTGAATAGGGATCATCATCTTACAGGGGACATGTTCTATGTCACGTCTGAACAGGGATCACCATCTTACAGGGGACATGTTCTATGTCACGTCTGAATAGGGATCATCATCTTACAGGGGACATGTTCTATGTCACGTCTGAACAGGGATCATCATCTTACAGGGGACATGTTCTATGTCACGTCTGAATAGGGATCACCATCTTACAGGGGACATGTTCTATGTCACGTCTGAATAGGGATCACCATCTTACAGGGGACATGTTCTATGTCACGTCTGAATAGGGATCACCATCTTACAGGGGACATGTTCTATGTCACGTCTGAATAGGGATCACCATCTTACAGGGGACATGTTCTATGTCACGTCTGAATAGGGATCATCATCTTACAGGGGACATGTTCTATGTCACGTCTGAAAAGGGACCATCATCTTACACAGGACATGTTCTATGTCACGTCTGAATAGGGATCACCATCTTACACGGGACATGTTCTATGTCACGTCTGAACAGGGATCTTCATCTTACAGGGGACATGTTCTATGTCACGTCTGAACAGGGATCTTCATCTTACAGGGGACATGTTCTATGTCACGTCTGAACAGGGATCTTCATCTTACAGGGGACATGTTCTATGTCACGTCTGAATAGGGATCACCATCTTACAGGGGACATGTTCTATGTCACGTCTGAACAGGGATCACCATCTTACAGGGGACATGTTCTATGTCACGTCTGAACAGGGATCTTCATCTTACAGGGGACATGTTCTATGTCACGTCTGAACAGGGATCTTCATCTTACAGGGGACATGTTCTATGTCACGTCTGAACAGGGATCTTCATCTTACAGGGGACATGTTCTATGTCACGTCTGAACAGGGATCATCATCTTACAGGGGACATGTTCTATGTCACGTCTGAATAAGGATCACCATCTTACAGGGGACATGTTCTATGTCACGTCTGAACAGGGATCATCATCTTACAGGGGACATGTTCTATGTCATGTCTGAACAGGGATCATCATCTTACAGGGGACATGTTCTATGTCACGTCTGAACAGGGATCATCATCTTACAGGGGACATGTTCTATGTCACGTCTGAATAGGGATCACCATCTTACAGGGGACATGTTCTATGTCACGTCTGAAAAGGGACCATCATCTTACACGGGACATGTTCTATGTCACGTCTGAATAGAGATCACCATCTTACAGGGGACATGTTCTATGTCACGTCTGAATAGGGATCACCATCTTACAGGGGACATGTTCTATGTCACGTCTGAACAGGGATCACCATCTAACAGGGGACAAGTTCTACGTCACGTCTGAACAGGGATCATCATCTTACAGGGGACATGTTCTATGTCACGTCTGAACAGGGATCATCATCTAACAGGGGACATGTTCTATGTCACGTCTGAACAGGGATCACCATCTTACAGGGAACATGTTCTATGTCACGTCTGAATAGGGATCACCATCTTACAGGGGACATGTTCTATGTCACGTCTGAATAGGGATCACCATCTTACAGGGGACATGTTCTATGTCACGTCTGAACAGGGATCACCATCTTACAGGTGACATGTTCTACGTCACGTCTGAACAGGGATCATCATCTTACAGGGGACATGTTCTACGTCACGTCTGAATAGGGATCATCATCTTACAGGGGACATGTTCTATGTCACGTCTGAATAGGGATCAAGTCCTTGCTGGGTATATTGAGTATCTATCAAACCATCCAACCACTCCAATATTTATTCTTATTCATTTGAAATATAACAGGACATTTGATTGGTCTGTCAAAGCAACGTGTAGCAATATAACCATGACATACTGTCCACAAAGTTCTCATTAGTAAATGTAGCTTATATGTAGGCCAATGTTGATATATCAATGACCCCTCAAGAATCCCAATCATGAAAATGACATCAGTATCAAAAGCATAGCCTTGAAAGTTAAATGAAACTTTGAATGTTACAAGCACCATGAATTCTGGTTAGAGTGACAAGATTGATTGTAGTTTAAATCTATACAAGTTGGAATAGGAATAACTCTTCATGCGTTTCGAATCGGTAAAACTCAGCTTGTGATTGTAAAATCATAACATACTGCCACACATTTCACAGACACTTTCCACTTAGTTTAGGACCAATATTAGATAATATTGGTTATCAACAAATGGGTTTATTGTAAGTTGCAGATGAAATAAGTTTTGTTTTTTTTTTTGGTTTCAAGCTAATAATATTAATTGACAACTGACTAAAAACAAGAATGAAATTAGTCACTTCAATTTTCTTAAATGTGCAAATTAAAAAAAGAATATATTTTTTTAAATGCTGCTGTTTGATGTTCTTTTGAGATTTATCTATCAACAATGACATTATTTTACAGAAGATTTAACAATGGTAAGCATATGAAAACATTGAACTGTTTTGCATATATTTTTAAAATACAAACCTTTGAAAAGAGCACTGTAAGGTGAGTCTCACTGCCAATCAGCCATATAGGATATTGCGGGTTCTTCAGATACCATCCAACCTGTTAAAATTGAAGAAAACCTACCTATCTGTGAGAGTTTTCTGACACAAGACATGGTGACATCAATATCACTTTACCAGTCATCTCTTGCTTAGCATTTGGTGCTTATACCTTATAGCTTTCAGCAAAACAATAGTTTAGTACAGTAGACTGAATCTTGTCACTAAGACTCTTAAAATTAATTTACAATGTGTGGATAAATATACATCTGACATAATACATACATTCTTGCTTCTTTTAAAACTCACCTCACAATATCGCATATGTTCTAGCAGTGTAAGGAATCCTATTGTGGCCTGTCGGTGTATGCCATGTAGTTCTGAAAATAAAGTTTCAAATCTTAATATCCTTTCGTCCTTCTAATTATTTACTAGTGTGTAAAGGGATGATACTGGTATAGTCCTGTTAATAATTAAATAGAGATTCCATCAAGTGGAGATAACTCTGATATAACCTGGTGTGTAAAGGGATAATACTGGTATAGTCCTGTTAATAATTAAATAGAGATTCCATCAAGTGGAGATAACTCTGATATAACCTAGTGTGTAAAGGGATAATACTGGTATAGTCCTGTTAATAATTAAATAGAGATTCCATCAAGTGGAGATAACTCTGATAAAACCTGGTGTGTAAAGGGATAATACTGGTATAGTCCTGTTAATAATTAAATAGAGATTCCATCAAGTGTAGATTACTCTGATGTAATCTAGTGTGTTAAAGGATTATAGTGGAGGTAGTCTTGTTAATGATCAAATGTTTGACAAGTCATGAGTGTAAGGAGACTCACTGAGGCCACAGACTTCTTTGTCATTGTCCCAAACATTGGTCACAGCTTTGCCACTCAGGAACAAGTTAATCAAGCTTTGACTGTGGAACAAATGGCAGATAACTCTTCAGTCAATACAATCTGAACATTGCACTGCTGTACAGCACAACTTATCACATGAAACTTGTCATATGTCGGATGTTGTCAAGTGTTATTGTAAATTTTAATTCTAAGTCAACAACTGATTAAGAAAAATGAAAAGTAATCCTGCATTCAACCACATTTAACAGCTTCATTTTGTACTAAAGTTTTAAAGCATTTATAGCAAACAATCTTAATTATTTTTGATACCAAAATGCACAATAAGTCTTCCAATGAGGTATAGGCTTGAAAATATTGGGCCATCTTTCTTGGCTGAATAGCTTTTGATAGCTGAGATTAAATTTGGAATGCTTAAATTTCTGTGAAAAAATTTGTATAATTGTAAAGATATTTCTATGAATTGTTACAGTAAGAGAAAAAACTGCATACTTATGTAAATATTACCAGTACATCTGAGCTATCATTTATTTAAGAACATATAAAGATAATATGTTTATCAAAGTTTTAAGATCAGAATAATCCTTTAGAATAAGGCAATACAATGATTTCAAAAGAATGATACATAATACATAATCAATTATCAGCAATATTCAGACTTCAACACAATGCTGTAGTTCATCAAACTAGAGATCTTAAAATTAAATATTAAGAAAATAATACAATTTACATAATGACTTTTAAAATATAAATATTATTTCCTGGACAGATGTTTACCTTCCATGACCATGGACACAATCTATCAGTGACTCCCCTGGATCTTCAACTTCATTTTTTATTTGTTCTATTCCCTATTAATGAGAATAAATCAATCTATGTTTTGAACATGTCAAACATAACTTCATACCAATACTAAAATTAATTATTTTTTTATCTACCAAATATTAGATTTATTGAATTATCTTAACAATAGGCAAGAAATTAGTTTTAAGCTTGTTTTCTCATCTCAGATGTACTGTATAAGTGTTATATTGTTGGATTTTTAATAAAATATTGTTTAAACTAAATATAGACTTGAAATCTTTGCTCTAATAGTTCAGATACTTTAAAAATGTGTAACTTTTTAGCCATTCATGACACATAAATCTACGATACAACAATGTCACTTACCTTAGTTAACACTACCGAATATAAATGTAATAAAACTCCAAATTCATCTGTAAAATTGGGAATACGAGATTTTATACATGTCCTGAGAGCTTCTTCATCTTCACACTCTGTGCACCTGTAACATCCAGTCATCAATTTTATTATGCCTTACTGAACCAAAACAAAATTATTGAAATTGTTAAACATGATACACTACACACTGGCTATCTGTAGATTAAGGTTTTCAAATAGTATATTGAATCAAACGATAACAAATGAAAAGTAAAGTTAACTACAAGATTTTTTACTGACCTGAGTCGTGAATGGAAAATGTCCTCATCCAGTCGAGGACGTTTAGGACTTCTCTCACCCTCCTCCACTTCTTTCTCAGTTACTGCTGCATCAGATGTTGATGCTTCCTGAGAATTTGATGTAATTTGTTCCAAGGGAGAGTTTTCAAGAGAGATAACTTTGTAAGTACCAGATGTGACATCGATTAGAATTTGGGTTAGAGCTGTACACAATAATTCTTTCGCCTCTTCCTCTACAAAGGACAAGTTACTCTAAAAATTATGTATCTGCCACTACGATTAAAATTACACAAGAATACCCCAACAAAATGTGACAAAGATGATACCTCAATATTTCCAAAAACCAACAGAAAATCATGATCACTATCAAATCATAAAGATTCAAGTGTATCAGTATTTTGAGAAATAGTCTTGATTTCATTTCAGAAACTAACATTCATTTTAAAAGTTTTATTCATTGAACAAGGTAGACAATCTAGCCTATCACTGATCATGGTGATACATCCAAGTGTGAGTTATCCATGATCAAAGGGAGACAATCTAACCTATCACTGATCATGGTGATACATCCAAGTGTGAGTTATCCATGATCAAAGGGAGACAATCTAACCTATCACTGATCATGGTGCTACATCCAAGTGTGAGTTATCCATGATCAAAGGGAGACAATCTAACCTATCACTGATCATGGAGGCACATCCTAGTGTGAGTTATCCATGATCAAAGGGAAACAATCTAACCTATCACTGATCATGGAGGTACATCCTGGTATGAGTTATCCTTCAACAAAGGGTGACAATCTAATCTGTCATTTCGGCTAAAATGCTTCAGGTGGTCTGGAATTATTCCACGATACACAAATGCACTTGTACCGGATGTTTGATCTGATATATGTTAAGCCCAGTTTCAGAATTTCTTGTCAATTATAAATCACTTGACTAAAATAAGATACCATCCATTACACTCATACTTTTAATCACAATGCTCCAAGATTAATGTGAGTGCACTGACCCTCCTTTTTATACTGAACTCCTTAAAACTAATGATATTCTGCAAATTGGTTTCAGACATGTATGGCTGAACCCCTCAAACTGCACCAGCTAAATATTCTGCAGTCCAGCCTCGGTCCCGATCTGTACCTGGCGTATTTCTTGCAGGTTCAAACAGTCCAACTGTTTCAACTGCTTACACAAAAGTGCCCTAAAGATACATCCTGGTGTGAGTTATTACTGAACAAAGGGAGACAATCCGACATGTCATTTGAGGTACATTCTGGTGCAAATTATCAGTTAACAAACGGAGACAACCTAACCTGTCACTGAAGATATATTCTCAGATGGATTATCACAGAAGAGTGCTGCCTTTAGAACATAGGCCTGAACAGGGGCAATAACTGCACATGGCCCTCCTTCATGTTGTACTAAGGCTGTTGGTTCATCTTCACTGAATACAAATCCTAGAAATAAATCAAACAAATTAATCAATATTCAACATAATTGAATAGACATTTACCTGTGCATTTACTATTAAAATTCAATATTTGTTTTGGGTCACAATATATTTTGGCAGTATTATACATACAGACTTAACAAATCATACAGTATTCTTGACTACTATTCGATTGACAAACAAGAAGTATTTTTTGTAAAAACAGATACATGTATTTGTTATAGACTTTCAGCTAGGACTTTTCTTATTGTTGAATATACATATAGATTCTAATGTAAAGGTGAAATGCAGTCAACTATAAAAACATGTATTGTGACTTAAACATCAGAGGAACAGCATTCAATTCGAACTTCTTTTCAGTTAACAAAACTTGAAAGGCCCACAGTTGAAAGTATGTCAAGGGCATTCCTTTGAACAATCTTGATAACCCTTCAACACACCATGCTACTGACTAAATGTCATGAGCCTAGGGTTTCCAGTACTGAGAAGAAGTTGTTTGAAGATTCCAACACAGTTCATTCCTTTGAACAAAATTGAAAAGTCCTTCATTCCAGCATGCTAATGTAGTACTGGCCAAATAACATGATGACCCAGTGCTTTCAGGGTTCTCGATCTGCCAGATTTGGGGCCAAATATTCCCAATGCAAAATAGTATCTTTATTCCCAATTTAGACCCAAAGTTATCCCAATTCTAAGGAAAACGCCACTATTTTTCCCAATCCTAAGGGCCCTGGGCCCCAGTCCCAAAATGGGGTGTGAGAGTCCTGGCTTTTGGAAAACAATGAGAATAAGTCTGTTAAAAGAAAACGTTAATGCCAGGGAAATGGTGGTTGAGTGTTATATTTTAATGGGACAAGTTGGAAAAGTATGGGTCACTTCACCAGAGATATTAAATTGTATCATATATAGTGTAGTGCAGGACCTTAATTAAAGTTAACTGATTTTTATGGGGAAGGATGGGGTTCAAATACAACAGGAAGGAACAATCTAAGCACCCTTCCCACTGCCTGCCAGGGTGTGAACTAGTGACCCTTTGTCCTCTAGTCAGACACCATTGCTTGATTACAGGAAAATAATCCACACTTCTATAATATTTTCTCCTTTGAATCCACATCTCCTTGACCCTGAAGACAACCACAACTGAAGTTTGATCATCAAGAAAGATCCAGCTCTGATAACCTAGGAGCATCTCAATTTCCTTTAGCTTTGAATTCGGAGTGGTCAACAGAACTATAACAGGCATCACAATTCTAAAGAAACATTGGGATCTTGCTACTGCTTTTTTTTTATTTCTTGTGAGGATCTGTTTTTATCCACAGATCTGATTGTATAAATATAATAAATCGACAAACACATACATTTAATAAACTAAAAATTATGTTAGTATCAAATGTATTCTTCTAATCTGTTACTATTTACAGAACAATTCACCAAAACATCATTTCTGCGGCGTGACGATTTACCCAAATACACCCAAATATACCCAAATACACCCAAATATACCCAAATATACCCAAATACACCCAAATATACCCAAATACATCCAAATATACCCAAATATACCCAAATACACCCAAATATACCCAAATACACCCAAATATACCCAAATACATCCAAATATACCCAAATATACCCAAATACACCCAAATATACCCAAATATACCCAAATACACCCAAATATACCCAAATATACCCAAATATACCCAAATACATCCAAATATACCCAAATATACCCAAATACACCCAAATATACCCAAATACACCCAAATATACCCAAATATACCCAAATATACCCAAATATACCCAAATATACCCAAATATACCCAAATACACCCAAATATACCCAAATACACCCAAATATACCCAAATATACCCAAATATACCCAAATATACCCAAATACACCCAAATATACCCAAATACACCCAAATACACCCAAATATACCCAAATATACCCAAATACACCCAAATATACCCAAATACACCCAAATATACCCAAATATACCCAAATACACCCAAATATACCCAAATATACCCAAATATACCCAAATACACCCAAATACATCCAAATATACCCAAATAAAGCCAAATCTTACCCAATTATACCATTATCTTACCCACATATACAAAAATCTTACACTATTACCACCAATATTAACAATTTAATCTACCGGTTATCATTTTTCAGGTCAATAACGTTTCTCAATTGCCCCCCTGAAAAGAAGAATCCTACGCTTATCTAGAGACCTATATATCACACACACACACACACACACATATATATATGTCTCTGGCTTATCCAAATCGACCGATTTTTCTGGACAATTTAATGTTCATTACCATAGATACTCCATTCCCCACGAGATTCTTAATTATGCCGCAATTATATTTCACGATTTATTTGGTATGTGGTCAAACGGCCTCACTGCAATACCGGCCCTAGTTGAAACGACCATACCTGTATATAGTGTAATATTGCGTTAGTACTGTGGTGATAGTATCGCATTAAGATGTTGATAATTAAAACAGATTTTGAAAATTTAAAACATTGTATATCATCAATAAAATGCTGATATCAAAAAAAAATAATAACAGTTTTAAAGAATGATGTGTTGCATTTGTCTTCATTTAATCCTTTACCATTCTCAGTAATGAGAAGCAACTGGGAAAAAAATATTGTAAAATCTTACAGCAAGATAATGCTAGTATTTTTACATTTTATTTAAATATAGATTGTAACCCAATCAAACTTATTCCCAAAATTTCTTTATCACCAAAGCAATAGGTTTCGAGAATTTTTTTTTAGAAAGAAATGGAAAAAATCAAGAAATTTGTCATGTGAAATGTCCGTTACCGTTGTATTTTTAAGACAAAACCAGTTGTCAAGGGTAGAAAAGGAACAGTATCGACAATCTTTCCAATGGATATTGTTTATTTGTGATCAGTTTCAAACTACGAAATCAATTTGGAAACCATATCTTAATTAAAATTTCACACCTGTACACACTTACTGAGTAATTACCCCCATTTGGTTTCTTATCCTTTCGTCATGGCTGACGTGTGTTATTTTAATCCACCCTGATAGTTGTCACACCTGTACACGTGCCGATAATTACACACCCAATTATATTGGTTTACTGTTCTTGTTGCCGACCACTGTTAGTTTAAACCAAGCCGATGGTTACAATACATGTATACACGCTCCGATTAATTACTACACATTTTGTTTTAATTTGTCTAGTAGTTAACGGATCGGGTGTTAATCTTTGTGAACACAAAGATCATAGGTGGTTATTAAATTAGGCAAAATGTGTTTTCCTAGCATCATCATCATCATCAATCTTTATTCCTCATATAAACAAGAGTACAAAAAAATAAATAAATAAAGTTAATTTACAAAGTGAAAATAATCAGGAGTTCAGCATTATTTCATATCTCGGAAATTGGCTCAGTTAATCGCACTGACGGCACTGAAATATAGTTTTGCACATGTTCTTAGATAGAATGCACAGTTGGAAATAAATTCCGTGTCCATTGTCTCATTATCATAAGAAAGCAACGTGTTCTGTCCTCTGAAAAGAGTCTTCACAAACTCTTCTTCCAGCAATCCAGAAAGGATGACGTATGTGTGGACGCCATAATAGTCTACTACTTTTGACATAAAAGTATCTCTTAGGATAAAAGTAATAGTACAATTAGTCACAAAGTGCCTGATGACGTCACACATGGGCTGTTCACAAATCCTACAAATTTGATAATGCTCACTAGGTATACATGTCAGCATCTTACATAAAAACAGTTTCGTTGAATTTGGAATATCTGGTTGACGTAAAACTGTGTAAGGTTTACAATAAGAAGAATGTATATCCTTAAATCGTATAAAGTCACGGTCAGCATTCATCTTAACTTAGTTGGAAATTCTGCATGACAGTCAGCACCTAGTCGTGTAATGGCGTGAAGCATATTCCGACCTTTCCTACACGCATTCTCTATGGTGGTCGAGCATTTCAAGTCCGAGGACACCATTACGCCTAAATGCGTTTCCGATTCCGCTATTTCTAGCTGTGAACTGTTCAGCTGCCATGGGAAGACGCAGCCATCTCTATGAAAACCAAAGGTAAGTACAGAGCATTTTGATGAATTAAAGTTAAACTTCCATCTTACAGAGTAATTATTAGCGACATTTAAAAGAGTTTACAATGCCTTTGGACTTGTGGTTACTAAGGCAATATCATCTGCCAAACATGGACAACAACACAGAGATAACGCGAGCGCCGACATTCGTAGATTCTAGATCGTTCAGAAGGTCGTTTATGTGAACAAGGTACATAAACGTGGAGATAATTCCACCCTGCCTAACTGACCTTTGCACGGGAATCCATCCTGACACAACACCGTTAGATAATTTATTAAAATTAGGCAAAATGTGTTTTCCTAGCAAGTATCCAATCAAATATGACAAGGAATTAGACAAAATTTACCAATGAAATTCATTTGTTAGTATACAAGTAGATATAAATTACATATGTTAACAGCCATTATTCAATCCACCATGGGTCGCAGTAGGAAATGGCCATGTGGCTCCTGCCAAAAAGATACACATAACATGCAAAGTCTTCTATGCGAATCTTGTGACAAATGGTATCACTCTGCCTGCGAAAATGTTGAAGATACAAACTTTGAAAAATTCACTCGGAATCCGGAATCATATATATGCAAACTTTGTCATACTGATGATGGATTGTTCGATTTCCTTCATGGATTCATTGCATTTACATCAATATTCACTTGTAAGCACAAGGTATCCATATATATATATACATATATCACACGACATTGCATTAATTACATTACTAAAGATTAATTTGTAAAATTAGTCACAGTATTTAATATATTATATAATTGTTTTTGATTATTTAAATTTTACAGATTTCACATACATGTAAATATTGATCTTAGACATTATACGTACCCTGCAATCAATTGCATAATCTTTTGCATGAAGTAGACAGAAAAGTAATTTATAATACTGAATATGCCATTGCAATGCATGAACAACAGCATTTTATGAAATTAAAAATACACTTTCTACAATATTATTATATCATATAACATAGTTTTACATACGTTGCAAATATATTACGAAACATAAAAGGTTCAATATTATCAATTATAGAAAGAAATACACGTTTTATCATAAAATCAGTTGCATCACAATGACATTACGAAAGTACGCATAGCCTATTGCGACGGCCTTTCAGACAAAATTTACCGATCCTGGCCTTCTCAATGGCTAAAATATCGAAAAGAGTAAGAGCCTTCTAATCGCTATTTTAGATGAGGTACTCAATATCATATCGCAAGTCCATTCCAGTCCAGTTATTCAGAAGGTTGAAATAGGCAAAAACACACTTCCTAACATTATTGTATACACAAACAAACAAATTTCAGACTTAATTTCAAACTGTGCAGGGGAGGGTGGTAGTGTACTGGGTATTAATAGAACATTCAATCTTGGGAAATGCTATGTAACTGCATTCACCTACAAACACCAAGGAGTAGTTCATCGTTCAACCAATGAAAACCCTCTTATGCTTGGACCATTATTACTCCATTGGGATGGGGAAATGGGAACGTATCAATATTATTTTTCACATGTAAGGACTAAGATAGGAACACATAGATACACAATAGGGACTGATGAAGAACGAGCCATGACCGATCCACTACATGACTGTTTCCATGATGCAACCTTCTTATTGTGCACTAAACACATCAAAGATAATTTGAATCGCTTCCTTGAAAAATCCGGGACACCAATAAAAACAAGATATCAGATTCGCAACATCATTTTTGCTGAAGATGGAATAGTCTTTAGTCAAAATGACGTTGAGTATCGCACTAGAATGGAGAATTTGGCACCGTATTTGGAAGGGAATAAAAAATTTAGACAGTACTGGGATAGGTATTTGGACTCAAAACTGACAAAATTTGTAATTCATCCCATCCAAAAAAACATTGTTAAATCTTTTTGGACAAATAACAACGCGGAGTCAATGAACAACAGACTCAAACAGGTTGCAGAATGGAAACAGCACAAACTTCCTGAACTAGTAGAAAAAATGTCTCTTGTTTCACAGATTCAAATGTTAGATTTACGACGGGCGTTGCATGCTACAGGAAATTACAGGCTGAAAGACCACATGTGGTCTTTCTTGTGTGACCAGAAGTCATGGAACGATAAAGTACCAGCTGACAAAGACACCTTTTTTAGAAAGTTTTTAGAAAGCAAAAAAGACAAAACCGGTGGGCAAGTTTGTTCGGGCTTCGAATAGTGGCTTTCTCTGTCCGAAGCCCAAACAAACATGTGGGAAAAAGCCAGGGCAAAGAAGGTGCACTAAAAGTGCAAAAACGACTTTCAAAATATGAACAAAGACAAAGAAATTCATGAAAGACAAGAATAACGATGTCAAATTATGTAAGATGAAAATATTATCCATTGTTGAGTGTCCTTTTTCAGAAATATTAAAACGTTGGATTTTCTATTGTTCTTGTTGTCTTTTTTTCATCCATGCCATCAACTTTCACGATCTTTTTGGAGAATATGCCTTGCATAATTTGTCTGAGAATTCAGAATTTTTAGAAGGTTTCATGCAAATGGTACCAGGATACTGTTTAAGAAAAAATGTATGTAAATTGATACAGTAAATAATTAAACACATTATAGGATTTGCGTTTGTCATTTGCTTAAAACGAAAGATGCATATAACCAATATGATTTCATGTTATATATCAACAATATATACACCGTAATTCTATAACAAAGCGTAGAAGTGTATTTCACAGTTTATAATGGAGCGCCCGTTCCCGCTTCATTTTTGTACGTTAGCCTATATGGTATTACGGAATTTATATGAATTGCCTTAGTAAATGGAAGCTAAAATTAGACAAAGATAATCTATTTGATCACGTGTATATTGGTTTATTAGTCATAAAATATAATACCAGGAACGTATATATATAAGATTTACGTCCCTGATAATACAGGGCCCATTACGGCCCGTTCCTGTCAGTCGTCGGGCCGTTTTATCTCCCGTGATGACAATCGTAACTCAGATGAGTGGACGGTATTCGGTAGATTTGATATTTGGTGTAGATTTTTGTATATTTGGGTACGATTTGGCTTTATTTGAGTATATTTGGGTATACTTGGATAGATTTTGGGTATATTTGGGTAAGATTTGGGTAGATATTGGGTATATTTGGGTAAGATTTGGGTATATTTGGGTAGATTGGGGTATAATTGGGTAAGATTTGGCTTTATTTGGGTATATTTGTGAAAGATTTGGGTGTATTTGGGTAAATCGTCGCGCCCTCATTTCTGAATTTTCATGTTCGTGGAGGCATTCCTATACTAACTTTTACTGACCTCCATTTTATAGATTTAGTATTACCCCCTAAGCGTGGTCAGCTAATAATTCATACAAATAGACGAACTGCTGTGATTCACTTGATGTTTCATAATTAACAAGTCATTCATTATGTGCAGATATGTGAAGGCTGATCATGGTTATCTATCCGCGAAATACTCTTTTTTAAGCGTAACGATATATATCGACGACGGAAATATACACGATAATATACAAATCGCTGAGAGAGATAGTCAGATCATAGTTCAGACACATGTAACAGTCTCGTTTGTCAGTACACTATTACTAGTAGTGGTTCAGATGCTGAACTTGGTGAGCCGGTTTACCTTGTGTCCACCTTGCAAATACTTCGTCTTTTAATCCTGAACCCCACAATAAGTTCCTGATATCTTGAATAATTTGCAGGTCCAGTTTGATGGAATTTACAGCCATCGTGAAGGTCTATTCAACATTCCAAATAATCAAAACTAAATTTGCTTTACTGTTGTGGCGCCATATTGTTTAATTTGTGACAATCTCCGTCTTTCTAACGCTTTGCTTGTATCTCTTACATTAAAAAAGTTCACGTGACGCTAATAATTTTTATTAAAAATGGCCGCGTCCATCGAGAAAATAACTTGAACAAAATTGTTCCCGTTTTCAAAGTTGTTTAAGTATATCACCGCCTTAGATATGGCAGAGGAACCAAAGAAAGACGATAAGAAGCAGAAGACATGTAAAAGTCGACGAGAAACTGCAGTTAGTTTCCATTTAGGCACATTCTATTTCATTTTGTATGTGGCATACTCTGTGGCCAAAAATCAATATAGGCAGAGACTAATATCATTTTGTATAAGAACTTTCTAAAATTACAGATTATTGTTTGGCATGCTTATATACAATATGAGTCAAGCAGAGTCTGGAAATAGCGAAGTTTGTACATGACACAAGGGTATTGTTGATAGTATCGAGAAAATAAACTGTCAATGAATTTTGGTTAAATGGTTACAGTAGTGCTAAAGAAATGACACATACATATTCCATACTTTTCATTTGCAGATGATCCATGCCTTTCATTTTCAGAATTTTTCGTAAAAAGATCAGTTTCTGGGACTGGGTGTTCTGGAAATGAACGAAACGTGGTTTAAATAATCAATCCAATCAATCATTTTCTTATCTTGGTAACCTGTATTCATAGTTAAAAGAAAAAAAATGAAACTTCAGATTTGGACGAATAGATGTGGCTAATCTTCAATGGGTTTTTGACATATAGGTCAGTCACCATGACATGTTTCTGTTGTTGTTGATAAGTACAAAAAATATCTTTAAAACAACACTTCATTGAAGTTTCCATTTTGTATGTGTTTGTCATTATCCGATTATTACCTAGATGCAAAACGACAGATTTCTTGCTTTACATCAGTACTTATTTTCACATTGTCCAACGTTACTAGCTTCAATGAAATAATCAATGAATTTGTTTGATATGGTTTCATTTTGTCATATATATTGTTTATCACAATTCTCCAGATGAGGGTAGGTATTGCATACAAAGTCTGTCTGTGACAGGTAAATGCTGGGCAAAAAACTTTCAACTGTCACCACTGGTGTTGATTTTACGTTCTGCTGGTCAGAACTCAGGTCTTGATAGTTCAGGCAGAGGTGGTTTCAACATTAACTTTCTGTATATTTCATTTATTTCAAACACAAAATTGGTTTTGACTTGAGAGGGATCAGTATTGGGAAGTCTTTTATTACTCTAATAAAGAGGATATCATTCCATACATAACCATTTTGTTCCATTTCAGGAGGTGATCAGTAATGAGAAGGATTGCACTGTAGTATATCTCCCAATTTGCTATTTAATTCAAATAGAAAAACAATATTTTTTTATCTGATAGCCTACATTACCTACCCAGCATTTTCCCTAAAAAACTTTTATTTTGAATGTCAGAAGAACCAAAAAATAAATGTTTTACTCTATTTCATATATGGTGGAAGTCCCCAGACTCTGTTAATATGTATTTACATATATGAAATAGTTTGTTTATGATTGTTGATATTTCTTGAACATTTTCAGTCTAGAGTTGATCATACCATATCCAGGATGCAAATACAACAGGTTTTTAGGTCATTGACACGAAGGGTCAATATGGCCTAGAGCCATTGTGCTTCGTCCATCGTTGTGCATTGTGTGTGAACTTTTTCTTTAAAACCCTATTCCTCTTTCGTATCTTGGTGGATTTCAACCAAATTTGCTCTGATGCATCATTGGGAGGGGGTAATTTTGATTCAGCCCTTAGGGGTCTAAGGACACGAGGAAGTTGGTCAATATTTTGCTTCAAATGGTGCTCTCCTTAAAACTTGAATGAATTTCAACTAAATTTGGTCTGAAACATCACAAGGGGTGGAGAAACATTCCCTAAATTCAAAATGGGAAAGTTACAGTAGTCAATGATTTTGCTTCAAAATGTTATTCTTCCTTAATGCCTGAAAGGATTTTTGCCAAATGTGGTCTCACATATCATTGTGCGGATTCAAAAGATTTTTCAGACCACCATCTGCAAATTCTGTGGTTTGTCCATCCATTCATCGATTGTCAGATGAACGTTAAGGGCCATGGCCCTCTTGATCTTTCTTTAACATCAGATCAGAACCTATCATATAAGTAAAACAAGCCTAATACAAGCTATTATTATATGACTCTTACATTAACAAATAACACTTTTCAGTATTCAGATTGATTATAAAACTGCTTTGGAGTTCACATCCTGTAGTGAATCATGTTTTGTGGTCAGCGTCACTACAGTATAAGTATTTGTACATGGATGATGTGTTAGGTTGTCTTAGTAGTCGCTGCATATATAGAATTCTCAAGTGGGAAAATGCTCCCAACCAGTATATTACAAATTTTAAAATGCTGTTGATTACAGTGGTTATATTTTAAAACTTGCAGGTCCAAGGAACCAATGACAATTCCATAGTGAGTAAGTGTTCCATGGCTGCAGTTGGCTATTTTGATGATATTTATCTCCAGGAGTTCGTGTCAAAGGTCACTCGGAGGGCACCACTCATACACAGGTAATAATTTGATATGCTGCCCTGAATTATAATAGTAGACTTATTCATGTTTGATCTGAAACAGCCTAGTCCTATCTATATATCAAGGATAACAGATATCATAAATCTGTAAAATCTACTAGTATACCTATTGATTTTATTGATGGAATGTTAACCTTTGTATAAATAGCTGAAAGGCCCAAAATTACAGAGTTAGATAATCCAGTAATTCTGACATCAACTGACACCATCTCTCATCAATTTATAGTTCTGTGTTATTAAAAGGATTTCAAGCACACCCTCCTCCATTACTGGCTTATAAATTTATTTAAACGTGCAAAATGTCTTGTCATATTTAGACAGATTCACTATGTCATCATGAACTTCATCCTTAATATTGATACATTTCAGAGGTTACTACATCCGGGCACTGACTATAGACTATATCCTAAAATCATTCTTAAGTCTACACCAAGGACGGAAACAGATTATCTCCCTTGGTGCAGGCTTTGATTCTGCATACTTTCGTTTGAAAGCAGCAGACGTTCTGGACAATGTTTCATTCTATGAGGTATTGTATATATATATTTTTTTTTGGGGGGGGGGGGGTGTTGTATTTTGAAGTTTTGATACATATATATAATAGAGTAGAAACCACTTAATATCATGTTCCAGTTTTCAGAGGAAAATATGATAATATAAGCAGATTGTAACATTAACAGTTGACATGTTTTTTCGGATGTCTAAACCTTAAAGTGTACCCTGAGTGTAATTTTACATTTAGATATAATGTTAAGAATGCCGTAAAAATAATAATAACGAAAACCCCGTCAAAATCTGTCACCCCAGTGTCGAGTTATTAAAGCTCAAAGTTGTCAATTTTCACCTGTCTGCTCAGACCTAATCAACGTAATCATCATTTCCGCGGAATCAAGGCGCTTCTACTCCTGATGTCATAAGTTCAACAGAAATGGCAGCCAACATGACTGACAGTGACAATGACACCGCAACTGAGAGTGATTTGAGCATGAGTTTTGAGGAGTCTGATTATGGTGTGGATGATATTTCTGAAAAAGGAATCCAGCCCTACCGATTTGAACCGGAATTACAAGACAATGTATCTAGTGAGGAGGAAAATAATCCTTCAGAAAGTGACGATAACTTGGGCAACATAGATTGGCATGTACTTCACTGGGTCTCACCAGTAGTTGTGAAAGTAGTCGAACAGTGAAGCGTCATTTCAAAGAAACAAAATAAAATCGGATGTGTTTTTGGACTAATTTTACTATCTTTAAGTCTCGATCAACAATTTCTGACGTCGGGAAATCGCGTTTGTGCAAGACTATACATACATTTCGTTCCAAAGAATTTTCATTCGAGGGGAATTTTCGTAGCACTATGGATATATATACATAGGTGTCAACAACACCCTCCGCTGTGTTGATAATAAAAATTTGATGTTTTAGAAGTTTATACAATGACTTGACTGGTTTTTTACCAAGTACTTGTACGCGTCTGTTGTTAGCCGACAGGCATGTCGCCTCACAGGTGTCACCATTGTTTTTTCAAGCCACAGAAGTGCTAATTACCTAGCCTGGCACAGGTGTGATTATGAGTTTAGATTACATCTCTACATTGTGAACTGTGTTTACAAATCAAGACTGGTGATCTTATTGTTATTTTTACGATCACAAAATTAATAACAAAACAACACATTGATCATGTTAACAATCTTTAATAATTAACTAAAACAACATCGTCTGCTGGAATGTCTAAAAACCAAATACACACAATATACACACCTTATACACACATAACCTATTCTATAAATTCTAATAATTCTATTCTATACTATATAATAGTAGCACGAAAATTCCCGGTATGAAAATTCTTCGGGACGGAAATTCCCGGTACCCATTCACTGCTAGGCCTACTCCGTGTATTAGGCGTTCACGTTTACGAAGGAATAATATTCCAATGACCGCCCAAGCCATAGGCTAGCCTATCAGTTTTGTGTTTAGTTGTAGAATTGATAACAAAATATCAAACTAACAAATATACTTTTATTTAATAAACTATCAGTTTTGTTTATCAACGGCATGCATCGACACCCCATCGGTGTTAGTGTTAGGACAACCGTACGCTGCACACCTCTTTCCTTCTCGATAGGAAGCCATTTTAGCGGATTTAAGCGCTAATTCATCGACTCCTTGTTCACTACCTTGAATATTGCGAAGATGTGAAGTACTTTCACGTAAATAAACAAAGAAATTCCTCCGGAAAATCCCAAAATAGATCACAATCACATGTAGCACAGTAAAGACAATATGGCTGCATCATCCAAAAGTGTGTTTTTTAGAAAAGTCGCAATTTCTCAGTAACGGAACATTCCACGGCATTCGCGTTTTCGGCATTGTGTATTTTATGTGCAGAACTATTTTTTCAGGTCAACATAGCTGACCTCTCAGACTGCACTTTAAAGTTAACTTTCTGATGTGTGGAACTGACTTGATTCCTCAAAGAAATTGTATGAACATGAAAATTTGTAATCTTCTTTGTTTTTCCTATATGTGATTTCCCTTAACTTTTGTTTGTTTATTCTTTGAATATCTAACCTGCTATCATAAAATTTTCACGAACGATTGTGTCATTTTCATAATTAACACGTGATCAAATTCGTACATATTGCTACAGTGTCATTAGCCAATATTTTGCTACATAATTCATTTATCCATTACTGTGTATGCTTCATAATATGGCATCATCATTGATAAAGAAAGGAAGAGATTCTTTAAATATCTGGGTTTTTTTCAATACACTTAGTTTTCATTGAACTTGATATTTCTTTTTAACAATTAAATGTAGCTAATCACTAATCAGCATTGTTGTACTGTATTATGATTGCTCACAGATTGATTGGTAAAATGAGATAGTTAATGAGATTTTGTATTTTTGTATGACAGGTGGACTTTCCTGAGGTAGTGAAAAGAAAACATGCTGTTATTAAGGCCAAGGACATGCTAAGTGACCTTATCCCAGGCATAAAAGAGCAGAGTTCTGACCAGAACTCTCTCATAGGTTGGTGAATATTTATCTATACATTACACTGACCAGAACTCTGTCATAGGTTGGTGAGTATTTATCTATACATTACACTGACCAGAACTCTGTCATAGGTTGGTGAGTATTTATCTATACATTACACTGACCAGAACTCTGTCATAGGTTGGTGAGTATTTATCTATACATTACACTGACCAGAACTCTGTCATAGGTTGGTGAGTATTTATCTATACATTACACTGACCAGAACTCTGTCATAGGTTGGTGAGTTTTTATCTATACATTACACTGACCAGAACTCTGTCATAGGTTGGTGAGTATTTATCTATACATTACACTGACCAGAACTCTGTCATAGGTTGGTGAGTATTTATCTATACATTACACTGACCAGAACTCTGTCATAGGTTGGTGAGTATTTATCTATACATTACACTGACCATCTCTCTCATAGGTTGGTGAGTATTTATCTATACATTACACTGACCAGAACTCTGTCATAGGTTGGTGAGTATTTATCTATACATTACACTGACCAGAACTCTGTCATAGGTTGGTGAGTATTTATCTATACATTACACTGACCAGAACTCTGTCATAGGTTGGTGAGTATTTATCTATACATTACACTGACCAGAACTCTGTCATAGGTTGGTGAGTATTTATCTATACATTACACTGACCATCTCTCTCATAGGTTGGTGAGTATTTATCTATACATTACAAGTTCAGTAGACCTCTGAGTGTATCTCTTTTTACTCTGGTGAATGGTTTTTGATTCTTTAGGGGACATTTCTATTTTACATATGTTTTGACCCTTTAGTTGATTTGACTTCTGACATTGCCTGATGCCAAGCCCTGATTATATTTAACGACATTCTAAGTGACTTTATCCCAGACCTAGATCCACAAAATAAAAAAGTACATGTTGGGTGGTGTTTTTTCATATCTATAAGACAAATATCATAGAATAAATATGATAAAATACATAGTATGTGACTTGTTATAACAAGTATTCTAAAATATGTGCTTTTTATTGTGTATTTGATGTGTTGAAGGAGATACCAAAGATTACAATTTTCTGTTTTAAAGAGATACACACAGAAGATTACACACTGGTTGGTGTGGATCTGACACAGTTGAACACCCTGGAGGCTGTGCTCACCCACTGTGGCGTGGATTCTGACCAGCCAACCCTCCTGCTGTCCGAGTGTGTTCTCACTTACATGACACGTCGCTGGTCAGTTTCTCTAATTCTGCTCTGATCCACCTGGTTTACCAAGACTTGATTGGTTGAAATAGAGTAGGAAACGTTTTATAAAGGCAGATTGATCATCAAAATGTGCTCAATTGTGAAATGTTTAAACAGATTGTCCTTGCCAGTTAAAAGGAATTTTTAGGAGTCTTACCAGAAATATCCAGTTCCTAGACTGAGATATTGTTTTGGTGGCTATAACATTCATGCCATGTTTCTGGAGGATGAAGTGGTCATTGTTTCATATATGAATGGTTGAATGAGCTGTCTTCAGATCAACCATTGAATGATATTCATTGGAAATCAGAGCAGTGGTTTCAGCTTTGTCAGTGTAAAACATCAGGATTTTCATTCCCTGAAAACAATATCCTTCAGCTGGTTTGTTATATTTAGTCTGCTAGAAAATGACATTTTTTAATATAGAAATTGAATTTTGACATAACATATTACATTTTCAAATATCTGGATAAATCAATATTGAAACTGGAAACAAAATTTTCAAAAGTGTAAAATGTCTAATTGATTTTCAAAAATCAATTTATTTTGAAAACCTTCTCTTTTGAAAATGTAAATTTTATGTCCAAATTTTGTTTTAGAATAATTAACACAATCATTTCACATATCATATTCAATCTAATAAGTGTACCTGCCCCTGTAAGCACACCCCTACCTTTTTTCAGGAAAAAGAGGATGGGTGCACTAAATAAGATTGAAACTGATAAGAAATGTTTGTTTTTCACTGACAGCCAATAGAGACCTCTGTTTATAATAGCTACATAAAGGTATGTTAATAATAAAAATAAATGATATATACCATCCAGATTTCAAATGGAAAAGTTTCCCTATACATGGTTTTATTAAGCCCACCCCTGCTGTTGTCCGTGCATATTGTACATATAAGTTACATGATAGTTCAAATATGATACAAGGAAAGAGATGTATATGTTCCTGATTATAATTACAGTTCATCTGCTGTCCTGAGATGGGCCTCGGAGACATTTGCCAATGCTGTATTTGTTATGTATGAACAGGTATCAGTTATGATCCTTAATTTTATTGTCAATGATGGTTTTGTTTTTCCAATCTTAAAGTTTTATGCCTATTAAACAGCCTTTTAATTTCCCAGTAGATTTACTGATAATTTTAATCTTTAATAAGATTGGATTCCTATTACCGTACACAGACTTTCAATTTCCTAGTAGATTGACTGATAACTTCATAACTATTCTTTTCTGTTTTCTGCAGATAAATCCCAATGATGCCTTTGGATTGTTTATGTAAGTACTAGAAATCTCTTACAATATTGTTTTATTATATCTGGAGAAACATACTAGATATTGGTTTTGTACTGTCTGCCTGCCTGTCCATCAGTCTCTGGTTGTTTAAAGGCTGCTTAGAGTTCACCAGTGGGTGATATTAAAATTTTGCAATATGAATCAAGCAAAATGGGGAACATCTGACAGCTGTAGATTTATTGAAACAGCTTGATATATTTTGGATGTTAATCTTGTTTTTTCAGTGGCAGCAGTTTCAATACTGTACAAGACACCTGTGAAATACAGCTTACTTTGATCAGCCATGGCCTATCTGTTACAGACCCTGAACCATTTAATATCCCCAAAATAATTGCTACATTTGTGTTCTGAATCGTCAGTCTTTTTCGCTTGTGCTTGGAATCGTTTTCTTTTTGCATTTAGGGTTGATTTCGGTTTATGTTTTCATTTACGTATGTTTCACTTGTGTTTAGGATAGTTTTACATTTGTGTTTGCCTCCATTTGTGTTTATGTACTGTATCAGGAATATCAGAATGAATACACAAGAACAATTAAGTATTGAACCATATGGTGGTGCAGCCGGTAGGCTGTCCTGATTCGTGAGAGAACAATGTATAGAGAGTATGCAAAAAAAATGAGATTGAATTAATTTCTAGATGTGAAAATTTGCAAGTCAGGAAAAATGAAAAAGCTGTAGTTATGACAGAATTTTTCTATAACGGGAAATTAACAACATTCACCAAATGATACATGATATTATGTATTACAATTGACTGTAATTCAGATATTGAGGCCCGTGTATTACCTGTTGATGATCTCTGTTTGTGGACAGTTGTAGCGGTTACTTGGTATATTGTAGATGTCTGAGGTGTGGTACATTAAGGCTGGTTGCTGCTTGGGGTCATCCATGATTTGTGACACCATGTGTTAAACATCAGTCACAGCTGTACATTTATTTCCCAGTCTATGATAGATGTACATTTTGCCGTGATCTAATCAAAAGTTTTATTTTGAATGCAGCATAAATTGCATAGTATTGGCGTAAAACTCCATTATATTTAATTAGTGACAGTAGTTCAGACCTATAGGACTCCTGTAATAATATGTCATACAGATAAGTAAAGTGCTTAACTAACAAGCAAAAAAAGCAAATAAATGAAAAGAAATAAACTTTTTGACTTTTTATATCCATATTTTCAGTGTTTTTAGGCCCCAGATTAGTAACAATATCATATAAGGATGAAGATTTTGTTTATTACAAACTCAGATTTATTCCTAAGTTGATATTGTCACAGCTTTTCAGTTGTCTGTTTTGACAGAAAATGAAAGGGAATGTAAAAGAAATCCATATCAGTAGAATATATACATTCTCTTTCACAATGATTGAAATAAGAAATGTTATCACTGTACCAGTACTAACACTGGTAGAGGCATTTACATCATATTACTATGTTTTTTTTTATCAAAGTGTATAAAATTGTTTTTGAAACTAGAAGGATACTGTACACTTTTTTGGTGATAAAAAATGGTATTTCTCAAGTATTAGAATAAGCGTCGGACAATTCTTTCACAGTAGAGCAAAAAATATGGACGACTATCTTGTCATGATATAATACTTATTACGACTATATATGGCTCCGTGATTTGTTGAACTATTTCTGGTCCATCATGTTTCGTTTTGCCATTGCATTTATCGTTAAACGTTTTGCGCTTATGTTTGCCGGATCATTTTTCATTTCATTTGCGATTTAGTAAGAAGGTTCAGGTTCTGTAACTAAGGTTTCTGTGCAGTAACTTGTATTTGTAGGTCAAAGGTCACATGATCTGTTACTGAAATACAATAACAGAGTAGTATTTTGGTTTCCATGTGATAGTGTCTGTTTATATTGGCCTATCAAAACAAGATTTGGTGCTTGCATGGAAATATTTCATGCAACTATGTCTTATTGGTAGACATGAAGCTTGTGTAGAGGAATGTCTAGTGTTGTATGTGTACATAAGTAGAAGGACATTATCATTCTTATAAAACAGAGCTCTATGTTCACAGGCAAAGACATTTCCAGGTGGTAGGCTCACCACTGCGATGTATTACATCATTCCCTACACTGCAGTCACAACGGGAGCGATTCCTAAGTCTAGTGAGTATAATATTTTATTATAACCCCAGTCTGTACAATGTTAGGAGTGTGTGACAAATACGGAAGTATACACAACAGTCCCCACATAGAGGTATACACGACAGTCCCCACATAGAGGTACAGCAAAACACGTTTATAACGCACCTCTAGGGACCAAGAAATTTAGTTCGTTATAAACATAGTTCGTTATACACATATAACGAATTTTGGCAAACAGTCCTGCATAATTCGTTATAGGAATTGTACATACAATAAAAATAAAGGGGTCTTATTTCATGATTATATTTTATTACATGTATAGTATGTCCAAATAAACAATAATTTGGTATTTGGTTTCAAATGTTAACACCTTCCGCTTACGAGACGGCGACGACGAAGCCATTTCCAAAATGACGACAACAAGAACAGAACGCAAAGATTTTATATCGATAAGATCAGTTCAGTAATTCAAAACTCAAAAAACAATAGAACACAGGTACCTATAACAACAACTCTCTTTATTCGTCAGTCTTACCTGTATGTAATTGAAACTTACCTGGACACGGGTGTCGATACAGGACACACGACTTACTTTACTCAGGTGTGATGACTGCCCGAGGCCACTACGTTATATGGTTATTAATTAGCACTGATATTCACCTGAGCTGACCCAAAAGCTGCTACGTTATAGACATTAATTTGTTATGTGAAATTCGTTTTATATTTTGATTTTAACATATAAATGAAAGGGTGATTGACAGGGAATGAAAAACACTACGTTATAACCATTAATTCAATGTAAGCGTGTTCGTTATAAACGTGTTTTACTGTAGTTGACAGTCCCCACAAAGAGGTAAACATGACAGTCCCCACATAGAGGTATACACGACAGTCCCCACATAGAGGTATACACGACAGTCCCCACATAGAGGTATACTTGACAGTCCCCACATAGAGGTATACACGACAGTCCCCACATAGAGGTATACACGACAGTCCCCACATAGAGGTATACACGACAGTCCCCACATAGAGGTATACACGACAGTCCCCACATAGAGGTATACTTGACAGTCCCCACATAGAGGTATACACGACAGTCCCCACATAGAGGTATACACGACAGTCCCCACATAGAGGTATACACGACAGTCCCTACATAGAGGTATACATGGCAGTCCCCACAAAGAATATACATGACAGTTCCCAGTATTTTATTAGGTCACCTAAGCTGAAGGCTCATGGTGACCCATTGCCATCATGATTTGTCTGTCGTCGTCTGTCGTGCGTCGTGCATCGTGCATCGTTAACTTTTCACATATTCGACTTCTTCTCAAGAACCACTGAATGGATTTTGGCCAAACTTGGCACAAAGCATCCCCATGGGAGGCCGCTTCAAGGGGGGGAAAAGGGGGTAAAATTAGGTAAATCTTTAAAAATGATCTTCTCATGAGCCAACAGTCAGATTTAGTTCATATTTGATATTTAGGGTCCTTATGGCAAGGTCTACAAAGTTTGCGAATGAAAAAATATTGGGTCTAAAACGGCCCCACTAGGGGGCGCTCAAAAGGGTAAAAAATTCAACTTTGACTAATTTCAAACAAATTTGGTAGATAGCATCCCTTAGTGAAGACCATATGAAATAATGTTGGGGCCCATAAGGGGTGTAAAAGGGGCCATATGAAAAAAACCTTCTTTAAATGACTTCTTCTCAAGAACCAGTGGATGGATTTTGATCAAACTTGGCACAAAGCATCCCCATGGGAAGCCGCTTCTAGTTTGCCAAGAAAAAGGGCGTTGCCCCATTAGGGGCCCCAGAAGGGGGAAAAGGGGGTAAAATTAGGTAAATCTTTAAAAATCTTCTTTGCATGAACCAACAGTCAGATTAAGTTCATGCGTTGTGCGTCATTAACTTTTTAGGTCACCTGAGCCAATGGCTCATGGTGACCTATTGCCATCATGATTTGTCTGTCGTCGTCCATCGTGCGTCGTTAACTTTTCACATTTTCGACTTCTTCTCAAGAACCACTGAATGGATTTCAACCAAACTTGGCAAAAAGGGGTAGAATTAGGTAAAGCTTCTAGTTTGCAAAGAAAAAGGGCGTGGCCTAAATAGGGGCCACAGAAGGGGGAAAAAGGGGGTAAAATTTGGTAAATCTTTAAAAATCTTCTTCTTATGAACCAAGTATCAGATTTTCCTAAAATTCAAAATTACAAAGTTTACAAATTAGAAAAAAAATTGGGTCATAAACAGGCCCTCCAGGGGGCACTAAAAAGGGGTCAAAATTTAAAGTTGACGGATTTCAACCAAATTTAGTATATAGGGTCTCCTGGTGAAGAACATGTGACTTCGAGTTGAAAAAAAGTGTCTGAAGGGTTCTGGGGCCTCATGGGGGGCAAAAAGGGGTCAATTAGATTTTTTTTTTAAAATGGGTTCTAATGGCATTGACCATGTTTTTGGGTTACAACCACACTAAGCACACAGCATCTGTGTAATAAAACACATTTAGTTTGGGGAAAAAAGTAATGGCTGCAATAGGGGCCCCAGGTAGGGGTAAAAAAGGAGTAAAATTAGGTAAAGTGTGCTTCTTTAAGTTTACAATAGAAAAAGGTGTGGCCTCAATGGGGGCATATTTAAGGGGCAGAAAGGGGTAAAATTTGTTAAATCTTAGCAAATCTTATTGTCCTGAACCAAAAATGTAACTTCATATAGATGATCTTTAGGGAAAAGATTGCAAAGTTTGTGAGAATAAAAACTGGTCCAAAATGAGCCCTTCTGATATTTGTTACATATTAATTTTTAATAAAGACATGTTGTGTGTTTATGACTACCATATAGGCAGGAAAAAATGTGTAGCCAGATCTTGTTACATTTTTGCAACATTTTAATATCCCTAGATTGTTGACATATATTCCTCAGGTGACCATTAAGGCCCCTTGGGCCTCTTGTCATCATATATAATTCCATTTGTATACTTCATATCCCCCTACTCAGGACACAAAGCATAGATGTTTGTTACACAAGATTCTTACAATTTTCTGACAAATTGATATTTCTTGGGTTTAAGAATTATGTCAAATCAAAGTAGATAAAATCAATCTTTGGGAAGCAAATGAAATTGATAGTCAATGTTTATTGACCTAGCAGTCTGTGATCACCATGGGAATTGAATTAGGACTGCTGCATTGAAAATATTAAATATCTACTGATTTTAAGCATGACTGCCTGAGTTAGAATGGTGTTTTTTATAAGCTCTCTTTTTATTTTAGGGCTGGGAAGAGACAGAATCACTTGATATGAACCAGTTTTATACAGCCCTGGTGAGAGAACAACAACGCCACCTTGTGGAGATGATGGAGCCGTTTGATGAATATGAAGAGTGGCATCTCATGTGTGGTCATTACATGGTCATGTGTGGTTACGTTGGAAATTGTGGCAAACTTCTACAAGGTAAGGTCAGAGGTTATATGTGGTTTTGTTAGAAATTGTATGGCAAACTTGTGGCTGTATTAGCAACTCTGGCAAACCCAATATAAGGTAAGGTTAGAGGTCATGTACGTTTACATCAGAAATTATGGTAGATGTCATTAGTGCTGTGTCAGAAATTGTGGTAAACTTTTTTTCGTTATATATACAGCTTTCTCCACTCTTCATTATAAGTGTATTCTTTGCTTTCCTTTCAGAATTGAGTAAAATATGCTTCAAACATTTGGATACCACAGAAGCAGACCTTCCACATGTTTGCATACAACAATTGCATGTAGGTTATCCTCTGCTGCGATTCGGTCATAGCAGTACACGTCTCCATGGTAGCAGTTTCCTTGTGACTGTGGGAGGATTTGGTGAGCAGGGTGGTAAACACAGACGTCTCATTGATGTTGTTGTAACAGATCTGGCCACTTTTGATTCCCGCATTCATTATCCAACTGTGGACACAAAAGCAATTGAAGGTATATTTTAATCCTTTACTGTAAAACATTGTTTTACTTTTACTACTCTACTGTATAATATTGTTTTACATTTACTACACTACTGTATAACATTGTTTTACTTTTACTACACTACTGTAAAACATTGTTTTACTTTTACTACTCTACTGTATGATATTGTTTTACTTATACTACACTACTGTATAACCTTGTTTTACTTTTACTACACTATTGTATATGTTTCACTAAAAGAAATGACCTTGACCCATATTCAAGGTCACTGAGGTCAAATGTGTTTTAAACAATTTCTTCTGAAATATCGAAAAGCCTAGAATCATTATATTTGGCCAGTATCTTCCTTTTACGAAGTCCAAGAAAGTAAAAGAAATGATCTTGATCCATAGTCAAGGTCACAGGGGTCAAATGTGTTAAACGTAGAACATATGCACAGATATAGTAATATTGGTGATAAAAATCAAGGTGAGCGATACAGGCCCTCTTGGCCTCTTGTTTTACTTTTACTACACTACTGTATAACATTGTTTTATTTTTACTACACTACTGTATAACATTGTTTCACTTTTGCTACACTATAACAATGTTTTACTTTTACTACACTACTGTATAACAATGTTTTACTTTTACTACACTATAACAATGTTTTACTTTTGCTACACTATAACAATGTTTTACTTTTACTACACTATCACAATGTTTTACTTTTGCTACACTATAACAATGTTTTACTTTTACTACACTACTGTATAACAATGTTTTACTTTTACTACACTATAACAATGTTTTACTTTTGCTACACTATAACAATGTTTTACTTTTACTACACTACTGTATAACAATGTTTTACTTTTACTACACTATAACAATGTTTTACTTTTGCTACACTATAACAATGTTTTACTTTTACTACACTACTGTATAACAATGTTTTACTTTTACTACACTATAACAATGTTTTACTTTTGCTACACTATACCAATGTTTTACTTTTACTACACTACTGTATAACAATGTTTTACTTTTACTACACTATAACAATGTTTTACTTTTACAACTCTACTGTATAACAATGTTTAACTTTTACTACACTACTGTATAACAATGTTTTACTTTTACTACACTATAACAATGTTTTACTTTTACTACACTATAACAATGTTTTACTTTTACTACACTATAACAATGTTTTACTTTTACTACACTACTGTATAACAATGTTTTACTTTTACAACTCTACCGTATAACAATGTTTTACTTTTACTTTTACTACACTATAACATTGTTTCACTTTTACAACACTATAACAATGTTTCACTTTTACTACACTACTGTAAAACAATGTTTCACTTTTACTACACTAATGTACAACATTGTTTCACTTTTACTATACTACTCTTCAACATTGTTTCAGTTTTGCTACACTAACAGGCAACATTGTTTCAGTTTTACCATACTACTCTTCAACATTGTTTCAGTTTTGCTACACTAACAGGCAACATTGTTTCACTTTTGCTACACTAACAGGCAATATTGTTTCACTTTTACTCTACTCTTCAACATTGTTTCAGTTTTGCTACACTAACAGGCAACATTGTTTCACTTTTACTTTACTACTCTTCAACATTGTTTCAGTTTTGCTACACTAACAGGCAACATTGTTTCAGTTTTGCTACACTAACAGGCAACATTGTTTCACTTTTGCTACACTAACAGGCAATATTGTTTCACTTTTGCTACACTAACAGGCAATATTGTTTCAGTTTTGCTACACTAACAGGCAACATTGTTTCACTTTTGCTACACTAACAGGCAATATTGTTTCACTTTTGCTACACTAACAGGCAATATTGTTTCACTTTTGCTACACTAACAGGCAATATTGTTTCACTTTTACTCTACTCTTCAACATTGTTTCAGTTTTGCTACACTAACGGGCAACATTGTTTCACTTTTACTCTACTCTTCAACATTGTTTCACTTTTGCTACACTAACAGGCAACATTGTTTCACTTTTGCTACACTAACAGGCAATATTGTTTCACTTTTGCTACACTAACAGGCAGTATTGTTTCAGTTTTGCTACACTAACAGGCAACATTGTTTCACTTTTGCTACACTAACAGGCAATATTGTTTCACTTTTACTCTACTCTTCAACATTGTTTCAGTTTTGCTACACTAACAGGCAACATTGTTTCAGTTTTGCTACACTAACAGGCAACATTGTTTCACTTTTGCTACACTAACAGGCAATATTGTTTCACTTTTGCTACACTAACAGGCAATATTGTTTCAGTTTTGCTACACTAACAGGCAACATTGTTTCACTTTTGCTACACTAACAGGCAATATTGTTTCACTTTTGCTACACTAACAGGCAATATTGTTTCACTTTTGCTACACTAACAGGCAATATTGTTTCACTTTTACTCTACTCTTCAACATTGTTTCAGTTTTGCTACACTAACAGGCAACATTGTTTCACTTTTACTCTACTCTTCAACATTGTTTCACTTTTGCTACAATAACAGGCAATATTGTTTCACTTTTACTCTACTCTTCAACATTGTTTCAGTTTTGCTACACTAACAGGCAACATTGTTTCACTTTTACTTTACTACTCTTCAACATTGTTTCAGTTTTGCTACACTAACGGGCAACATTGTTTCACTTTTACTCTACTCTTCAACATTGTTTCAGTTTTGCTACACTAACAGGCAACATTGTTTCACTTTTACTTTACTACTCTTCAACATTGTTTCAGTTTTGCTACACTAACAGGCAACATTGTTTCAGTTTTACTTTACTACTCTTCAACATTGTTTCAGTTTTGCTACACTAACAGGCAACATTGTTTCAGTTTTGCTACACTAACAGGCAACATTGTTTCACTTTTGCTACACTAACAGGCAATATTGTTTCACTTTTACTCTACTCTTCAACATTGTTTCAGTTTTGCTACACTAACAGGCAACATTGTTTCACTTTTACTTTACTACTCTTCAACATTGTTTCAGTTTTGCTACACTAACAGGCAACATTGTTTCACTTTTACTTTACTACTCTTCAACATTGTTTCAGTTTTGCTACACTAACAGGCAACATTGTTTCAGTTTTGCTACACTAACAGGCAACATTGTTTCACTTTTGCTACACTAACAGGCAATATTGTTTCACTTTTACTTTACTACTCTTCAACATTGTTTCAGTTTTGCTACACTAACAGGCAACATTGTTTCAGTTTTGCTACACTAACAGGCAACATTGTTTCACTTTTGCTACACAAACAGGCAACATTGTTTCACTTTTACTTTACTACTCTTCAACATTGTTTCAGTTTTGCTACACTAACAGGCAACATTGTTTCAGTTTTGCTACACTAACAGGCAACATTGTTTCACTTTTGCTACACTAACAGGCAATATTGTTTCACTTTTACTCTACTCTTCAACATTGTTTCAGTTTTGCTACACTAACGGGCAACATTGTTCCAGTTTTGCTACACTAACAGGCAACATTGTTTTACTTTTACCTCTTTACTGTAAAATAAGAATTCACTTTTACTTCATCTCTGTAGAAATGCCATAATGTTGATTATTGTTCATTCCAGTCAATAGAATGCATCATGTGATATGTGCTATGAAAGATAATTCCATTCTGCTGATTGGAGGAAGGACTTCACCAATCAGACTCTGTCGTCAACTTGTTAAACTGAACTTCATTGGTTTGCATAATAACCACCAGGAATCTACAACCAATACACAAACATCAACTGATCCTTCTGAGCAATTATTGAAGAACAGAAATTCCATACCAAACAATTACAGTTCAAAACAATCAGAGAGTAATAAGACTATGGAAGCTGAATGTAATAGTGATCATGAAACCAATGTTACTGATAATACACTAAACCCTGAACATTTGAGTGGATGTTCCTCTCATAGTATAGCAGAAGATGTTTCTACACATTGTGAATTAATTAGTACAGTGAGAAATCCATTTATATCTACAGCGGCATATGTAAATAATATATCAGATGCAGCTGCTCAGGAGTATTGTGAAGTAGATCAAACTTTGATAGAACAGATTAATCAGAATAATTCAGGAACAGGAAAGATTGAAAATAGTAGAAATTTAAACAACAGAGAGACAGTTGCCAATGAAAATAGCTGCAGTTCAAATCACAAGGAAGTCAGAAATGCTGCTGAAAACAGAAGTGATGAGAGTGAAGAGAATTTAATAGAAAGGAAAGAAGCACTCCTACATGTGAATATCAGTGTGATATCAGAAAGTGGCAACATCCCATGTCCACGATGGAGGCATTCAGCCTTAGTGATTGACAAGGGTGGTAAGAGACAATTAAAATAAAAAAAAAGACAGAAATATTATTATTAGATAATTAGCAAATTAAAAAAATTGATTAAATGATAGGACTAGTGCACTTCCCCATCTTAAGTTTGACTTTATTTCAATCACTTTGAATTTTCCTCAGTCTCCTTCTAGGCTTCAAAATGAAGGCCCTAAGCATCACTGATAAATCCTAGAAGGATGGAAGAGCTGTATGATTTAGTTAATTCATTGTTTGGCTCTATTAAATATAATTGGTGTACAGTGTCCTGTGTCTAAAGTCAGAGTATTTACCTACATTCTTTTTGTATGATTTACAGGTCAGGAATGTGTTTTCCTGTTTGGAGGTCGGACTGAGAAGGTACTGGCTCTCAATGATGGCTATTTTCTGGAGACAGCCACAGGCAGATGGACAAAGGTTTGTTCTTGTACGGCACCTTTTCAATATAGGTGGAGTGTTAAAACTCCTGAACTATCTTGGAAGTTTTACAAATTCTCTATAAAAGCTTGAAATATTGCGAGTACTGGCCGCAGGTCAAGAGATAGATTGGCAAGGATGGAATTGGGAATACTATCTATACAATGATACACAGAAAATTAACAATGAAAAAATAGAATTAAAACCATGTGTAGTAGGTCTCATTGGTAATTGTATATCTTATCAATGGTTTCAGGTGTCCTCTGTTGAATCTGCCTTTGTTCCAGTTCCACGACAGGCCCACTCCACTACAACATGGGGTCAAAAGGTCATATTGTCAGGAGGTCTGGACTCTGACCTCCAACCTTTGAACTCAGTTCACACTTTTGACATAACTTCATGTGAATGGAAAACTTTGGATGTAAAAGGGAAAATGCTGGGTCGGTGAGTTGCAAATTGAAATTTAATTGAATAAAAACCTTTAAAATGATGTTTTGTTCAATTGATTTAAATGATGTTGTGCTAAAATTTAAATACACGGTAGATAAATAAAATAGTATCTGGACTAATGAGAATGTGATTCATAGTAATGAGAAGTAATAACACTGTTAAAAATTGTACTGTGTTTTCATAAGTAAAACATTTGTTTCTAAATGTAATTTAGGTACTCCCATTCTAGTCATGTGATTGGGGAATACTTAGTTCTCATTGGAGGTGTGAACCTGAACCACACACAGCCAGGAATAGCTCTTATCCACCTGCCATCACTTGTATGTCTTGAGTTTCCACTCCAGGTAAGTGGGTCATGTGGCTTTTTTCTGCACATGTATTGAATTGGCCTGGTTATACCAGTTTAATGATTAATGTGCTACCAATTAATTTGATCCTCACATTAATTAAGGCATATGATTAGTTGGTATTGTTAAGATTTTTTCCACTGTCAAATTTTACAAAATTTTACAATATTAGACAAAATTTGTGTAAGAGTTGGGCTTACCAGCACTTGGCAAGACACATTCTGACCAGCTCATTGACTTTATTTGAGATATTCTTCAGAACAGACCTTTTGTAAGATTCTATTATTATTTGGTTTGGTAGGAAGGGTATGTGTTATTTATTTTTGTTGATGATAAACATTTATTATTGGTGTTTGTTTTATTTTTAGGCCCAACAGAAAGATTCTATGGTGATGTTACATCGACACACCAGTGTTTACTGTGGAGACTACTGCTTTATTGTAATAGGAGGTGGGGGAAACTGTTTCTCCTTTGGGACTCACCTCAACACAACACCTCTCAGGCTTAACCTCACAAACTTGTTCACTAAGATGGAAGATCACATCAAATTACAAACTGACAAAAAATAGGGTAGGATGTTTTTGTGCGACTGTCTGATGGTAAAATTTTCTGATATAATAATAAAATTCCAATGTGATGTTTTTGTGGGATTGTCTGATTGTAATATTTTCTGATATACTGATCAATAAAATTACAGTGTGATTTACAATGTGGATTTCATTATAATACCATTCATAGTAATTGAAGCCGTGCAGAAAGGTCACCTGGTTAGAAGACCACTTTCCTCTGCACCCTTGAGTGGTTTTTATAAACAGGTGACATTTTATACATTATTTTTTTCATACAAAACAATATGAGCAATATGATTGTGATAGTGCACCTGGAATACTGCTGTGTAACAATGATGTTGGGATAATAAGTAAATCAGGCACTTTTCTGTTAAAAATTGCTTATGAGTGTTTTACAAGTCCAGATACACCTCACCTGCCCTCCTGCTGATAGACTGAGGTTTTCATACAATCAAAGACAGAATTACTCAACGGAACATATGCAGACCTTTCCACAATATCTACAGATTACTTGGAGGTGACCTGTACATTTACTTGTTACTTAATACTGTGATAAAGAAATAAGATGGAAATGATCAGCAAGCTCGTCCAGTAGTTCTTCCTGAATTTAGAGGAACAATCTGAAAATGTTTAATGGAATAATCAACATTATTCAATTAAACAAATTTAGTGATAAAATATTTACAGCTGTTGGTTAGCAATTCAGCAGTGTTGTAATATGTAATTCATGAGACTTTATACAGAGATGTTTTGTTATGTTACTTTGAAATATCATATAATTAATCATTAATTTGTGTTATAATTAATGATATTTAATACTAATTGTACATTGGTGGGAAAATAAAGGATCACTGTAAAAATGGAATTGTCTCAAGTTGTCGCTCAGTTATTTGGAAAATCATAGGCATGACTGGAGTGAGCCATGGTGTAAGTCAGTGCATCAACTTTGTAAAACAAAAAAAAAGTTTGGTAGCAAGGTATATATTTGTATGATGACAGATCAGTGAAGTGCACTATTTCAATCAACCATTTTTCAGAGCATTTCATTGTCAGTCTATTGTATTGTATTTATTATCGAGCTCATTCCTTGAATAAAACATATCTGTGAAACTTGTGTAATTATGATAAATAATAGTCTAGTTAAGCCATTAAATCTGAGGGAAATTACTCAATGGAATTTTTAATCAAGAAGTAAGTCTGTACTCTCAATAGTCATCGTAGGTTGGCAGCCATGTAACCAGCATTTGATCACAATGCACCTTATGTGTACCTTCAAGTGTGTGTGTATACACTGTGCATAATTAAGGTGGTGTATATTACATGTTCTACTTCCATAGGACTTTATTTCCATTAGCTCATTCTATAGAAACAAGCTCTGTCAGTCCTCTCCTTCAGGTTGTGTTTTGGTAAATGGTAGCACTATCCGCAAGTCTCATCACAGCATGATGCATATTTAGTATATGACAGCGACATTGTGAGCCACACACATCTATATTAATGCCAGTGAAGATGTCTATTTTATGATAACATGTTCTTCCTATGCATTCTGACACAAGTTGGAGGCATGACAAGATTGAAAAATCACTTGGGTTTCATTTAATTATAGAATTAACAATATCCTTCACTATGCATTATAAGACACCTGTTTACATGTATAAAGTCTGCTTGAGCAGAGAAGCTCTCTTGAAAGATCGTATTTAAGAAAAGCACAAATGACGTCTTGTCTGGTACATGCCTGTGATTTTAAGATTCCGATATTTGGGTTGTGGACTTGTGCTTTATGTGTAGGACTCGTTCACATCATTGAAAACCTATTGCATCTCTGAGAAATGGGACCTATCAAAATTTTGTAAAAGTGGTTCTGAACTCTGAAAAAAATGATACAATAATTACTGATGTGCAGTAATATTCATAATCAGTTTTCGTCTTACAATGAAATGCTATCAGATGTGTATGAAATTTTGTAGAAATATCAGAGCTGTCATTTATACATTTTGTAGTGTGAAAGTGTTTCAAAAACGAGGTGAACTAATATAACTTGTTAGCATTTAATATAGTTTAATACATTTAATGCCAACACAATAAACAGGTGTTAAATGTTGCAGTTACAATGGTTAATATTTCATGTGATAATATTATATTGAACTTGATAAAGCTACTTCACGCATTTAAAAATAAATGAGGTTAAAAGTATTTTTAATGTGATAACTGCAAACGTGATAGTTTATCTTGAATTAATTTAATATTATCGTTCCTTGGGGAATTTCAGTAACTCATTTTTCTTCATTAATGGTTAATTCTTTCAAAATTCATTACTTCATTTGGGTATCTCCCCAAGTGTTTTATTTTCAATTTACATCTTCATTACCTAAACATTGTATACATTAGAAACAGTCTGTCTTATCCAGAAGCTCCTGCGATTTGGATGGACAACTGCCATGCCTCCTCCTTACTAAAACACCTGCAAAGCTCCCGCCGACTCAGGTGTTTCCCTATTGCATCAAAGGAAGCTCCCGCCGAATGTGTGCAACTTACAGCCACCCACGGCTCCTAACATCCTTCGGACAGAGTCGATGATGCTCCTTGGCGCCAAAGGACATTATCATCCCATGACGCTCCCGCAGATTGGGTAACTCTGCCTCTAAGACTTGATTATGTAATTGTTAGGATGATTTGCTGAACCATTCCCCAAGCCCAAAGTTTTAATGTAATGAGTATATCATATTTAAGTTCTTCATTCTCTTAGTACCAGTAGTAGGTTAGTATTTAGTGCCGTTATGTTTTTTGCTTGTAGATACTTATTAAATTCTTCTGTTGAATGGGAAACAACGAGTTGTGATGTGTATAAATTAATATTATCGTTCCATAATTACATAGTTTATATCATTACCGGGATATTGGGTCACCAGGCCCCAAGGCCATGTCACCGCTATTTAAAGCTGTCATGGAGTCCACCTGCTTTAAAAACTTCTGAAGACAAAATTTAATTTGCAAAAAGAAATTACCTTAACCTTTATTCTACATCTACATCGTCCACTGTTCTGTCATTTGGCTGACCATTATACAGTGTGTGCGCGGCGTTTCATCTGACAAATTATAAAAACAAGTATGATAAGATAATATTTAAGAAGAGATATATATTTGTACTGAATGTGTGTATTGTGTAGTGTGGTTCCTGTAACTAATTCCTCATCCCACTGCTAGTTTGACCAATCCGGCTACCGTAGCGGCCTCAGGAGAGGGGAGATGAGAGAACTTTAGTGAGTGGTTCCTATGAGTGCAAGTTGTGGATGGTGTTAAGTAGGTTTCTATTGTGATATCCACTAACTTGTGGGCAATCTTGTACATGATGGTGAGCTGGATCTTAAGCCGTCTTGATTTCAGTGTCTCCCATTGTAGAGTCTGCATCATGTCAGATACGCTGCTGGTATTGCGAAATCTGTTGGTGGTGTACCGCGCCACTCTCCTTTGGATCATCTCAAGTTGGATAATTTGTTTCCTGGTGTGTGGGCTCCACTGATGAGCAGTATTCTAAGGTTGGGCGAACAAGTGTATAGTATGCACGTGCCTTTATATCCTCATTGGAGATCTTCAGGTTTCTTCTGAGGAAGCCAAGAGTGCTGTTTGCTTTCTTGCATACTCTATCTATGTGATGGTTCCAAGTTTAGTCTGCTGAGAGATCCACCCCGAGATACTTACTGGAATTAGTCTCCTCAAGTAAGTGTCCTTTAAGATGGTACTGGGCTTGGATGGTCTTCCTGTTCTTAGTGACCCTCAGAACACTACACTTGTCTGGGTGGAACTCCATACCCCACAGTTTTTCCCACTTTGCCAGCTCTGAAAGATCTGTTTTCAGTATGTCAACATCTTCTCCTCTCACTGTTCTGTAGACTATGCAGTCATCTGCGAAAAGTCTGACCTGGGACACTATGTTGTTGGGGAGGTCATTGATGAACAGTAGGAAGAGTAGAGGTCCGAGACAAGTCCCCTGAGGGACACCGCTGACAACTGGGGCTTCCTCCGACAACTTGTCCTCTACCATGACCTGCTGGGTTCGTCCTTCCAAGAAGCTCCTTATCCAGGAATGTGTCGGTCCTCTGATACCATAGAAGTCTAACTTCCTAAGCAACCGTCGGTGAGGTACCCAGTCAAAGGCTTTTGAAAAGTCCAGGATAATGATGTGTTCCTGAATCTTGCAGCAGGTACATGTAAGGGAAACAGGCCGATAGTTACTAGCCTTAAATCTTTCTCCTTTCTTGTAGGCAGCTGTGACGTTCGCCTTTTTCCACTCAGATGGTAATATTCCAGTGCTGAAGCAGCTGTGGTATATTCTTGTCAGGAATGGTGATAATTCCTCAGCAAGATTCTTTAGTAGCCTGGCAGAGATGTTGTCTGGACCGCTGGCCTTACTAGGATTGATGTTAAGCAGTAACTTCGTAACCCCTCTCTCTTCTATGGTGATGTTCTCCATGGAAGGATATGGTGTTCCTGGCAGTCCTGGGACAGATGACTGGTCCTCCTTAGTAAATACTGATTGGTACTGCCTATTGAGAATGTAACTTCCCGTCCTCCTTCAAGGGGGCTACGCCAGAGTTGTCTTTCCTTTGTGCCTTTATTTAATAGGATTTAATAGGAAAAATAATGGATGCAGGCTTTAAGCCTCTATATCCATATCAATGAATTGTACATATACAAAAACAATTTGTTTACTTCCAATGTACATTGCATTTTTAACATTTAACCAGTAGTCAATCTTATCAATTAAATAATTAATTAATAAGCAGAGAGTTTCAAATAATTGTCCACTAATATTTCAAATTGTATAACATTATTTGCATCTATTATATATTGTGGTAAACTATTCCATTTATCTACAACTCGAAAACTGAAAAAGTTTTTTCTGATATCCGAAAAGCATTGTTTTTTAAATATTTTTTGTGAATGTCCTCATGTTTTACTGTTGATATCCATCTTGAAAAAGTTAGTAGTGACTCGTTTATCATAAATGTTATTTAAGATTTTGTAGACATTAATCATATCCCCTCCGTTTCTGCGATATTCCAAGGTTGGTAGGTTTAGTTTCCATAAGCGTTCCGGGTATGTTAGGTTTTTATATCCTGGTATAAGTTTTGTTGCTCGCCTCTGTATGTTCTCTATCAGTTCAATATCTTTGGTTTTATACGGACTCCATACACTCGAGGCATACTCCAAATGTGGCCTTACAAGTGCCTTAAATAACAGTTTAAATATTTTATCATCCATTACGGTAAACAATCTTCTAAGGACTCCCAAAATGCTGTTCGCCTTGTTCACACCAAGTTGGATATGTGTTCTAAAACTTAGATCTTCATCAACAGTCACACCAATATCCTTTTCAGAAGTTATGTTTTCTAGCTATATTTGTTCGCCTGACAGTCCTTTTATGTATTTCCAAAATACTTTTTGTTTGGGCTGTTTATCATCATCCCCTCCTACTCAGATGTTCTCCAGATTTTTTCAATAGGACTGCCATATAAGTTTTTGGATGTTTGATCTGGTGGCTTTGTACTTTCTGATGTTGTTAGGCTGTCGTGTCTGCTGTTGCCTCTTTCTGAGCTTGTCCGTGCGTCTAATCTCTCTCCTGATCTTTCCATCTATCCATGGCTTGTTTGACTTTCCACCTTTCAGCATCTTGCTTGGGATATATTTGTCCATGAGTGATAGTATGGTGGACTGAAACTATTTCCACTGATCTTCTGTGGTCATGTCTTTACTTTTGGGATCAAAATCCTGCCATGCGGTCTTCAGGTCCTCCTCCATTCAATGTCACTGGATCTAATTTGTTAAAACACTCAAACATCATAAGTCCTTAGACACATAAAAGATTTCATCAAAACTGAGTGACGTGGTGGAGTTTGTATCAGAAAGTGGTAAAATTGTTGCTTGTTTACATTCTGTGTAAGAGTTAAACACGTCAAAAATGTTATTTGTCGCTGTTTAACATCCACTTATGTAAATAAGGGCAAATACATCATGACCTCCATCATGCAGAACTGTTGAAGATATTGAAATATTTCAATTGTCGTGATTAAGAGGTTTTGTTTGGGTTATATCAATGTGAAAATTCAGTGGACTGTTCCCTATGTGTTCGTCTGACGGACTCGGATCTGATCGTGAATTATCTTCCCGGAAATCGTACATAGCGCGCCGTCTATGGTATGTTTATAGCAACAAAATGGCGCTTCTGAAGCCTCGGCGCCTCGATCAAAGCGATTACGCGTTAGCTGAACAGGGATTACAGACTCATGTGTTGGATATTTTGGGAACGCGAGAAACTGAAATAGATTTATTTAGGTAAGTCGACAGAGTTGATCGTCAAAAACAAACAAATCTTGTCCTGAATGTTAGGTTATCCTTTTCGATGTTATCAACTGATCAAATGATGAAGAGAATCTGCACTGAAGAGAAAATCCAGACTGTATAAACATAGTTTAGAGTTAGATATAATATGCATTTACTGTTTGGTTAATAGTTACGAATTGAAATATATCCATGCGATTTAGGTTCAACAAATTAGTATTATATTTATAGACGGGTAAACAGAGAAAGTGTTTTACCCACGTGTGTTTTGATAACTGGCGCCCACCTGCACGCGCCTAGCGTCATCGTGTATTGCCAAAACAATGACGTCATAAAGATCGACGTACACGTTCACATTTAGTGCCCTTTTCCATCATCAACATCGTACCAGACAAATTATGCTGAGATTATTAGAATCTGTTCCAAAGATCCGTTCTGTTGGAATCCAAGCAGGGATTTACAGAGGATCAGATTCCATTACGTAAGAGATCCACTGTCAATCTATGGCAAATACATATATATTTTTTGCTTAACTTTACTAGATATTTTCCTCCTCCGAATAAAAAATGATGATATGCCTTATGCTGGAGCAAGTGCATATTGTATCTGTTTCTTCAAATGTACAGGAATAAATCAGTGTGATAACAACCCCTTGACTAGGCTAAGACAGGGGTAAAACATTCATATCTGTTGAGTGCCTTGACAGAAAACGAACCAACGACGATGAAAATATTTAACATTTCCCAAGCCACAAACTGACCTGGTCCTTTTACACCATCTGCTTTCCTTATCAAGATTTCCCTAATCTCAAGTGCAGATTCTAAATTCCATTAACAACTCATGAATTTTGTTGGAAATCATTACATGTAGACCTAATTTAACAAAACAGAGGAAACACATTCCTGTTGTGTGCCCTGTACTTTCGGGAATTTCAAATGTCATAGTCCATGACTCTTAACACGGAAGCCACAAGAAGCAGTGCTCTCACTGGAATGACAAAGACCATATTTTAAATATACATTTTAGCTACAAATGTCTCATTTACTTTGAAGGCAATGAGTTCATTTGGAGTCCCTTTCAAATAACTTTGTGATTACTAGAGTAGTACTGCATATGCAATACATATATTAACAGACAATATGAAATTGACAAGCCAGACCTGTATCTGTATGATTTTCAGAAAATCGATGAGCAACGTATAGCTAAATTGGTAACTCTATACATTATATCATTGTTATTTTCTGTAGGCCATCCTTGGCAGACCAACACAAAGTTGGATTCTTCACACTAGACAGATGTTCACAAACAGACGTCACAGAGGTCGTAGACCTCAAGGAAATGACAGAAATTATACAAATACTTCTACAGGTATGTTTAGGTAGAGTTACTTTAGCAGTATTATGTACTTGATAGTGATACACATTATACTTTAGTATTTGTTTTTAAAATCTAGTCATAAACTTTAAAAATGGTGTACAAATAAGTTGAATTTATTTGAAAGTTCCACATGTTCTTGAAGGAACGGTAAGTTTATCAAATTTATTCAACTATTTCTTTATATACCACTAGGAAATATTGTTTACTTAGAAAATCTTAAGTAGTTCAACTGATGTCTAATCAGTAGTGGAATACAAGATTGCATACAATTAGGATTTAATTTCTTTTAATGATTTGTATTTCTTCTTTCCCAATTAAGGATGTGAGAAACCTTAGAAGGGATATAAAATTTGCCAAACATATTATGCAGGCAGACTATGAGGAGAAACTTCAAGAGAAAGCTATGGAGTTGTAAGTGTTACAGTATCATTATCAGCCAGTATTTTCAATCTGCTCAATTATTTTAGTTACACCCTTTTCTTTCTACAACACATCATCAGTCCCTACTTTGTGAAATCTTCTCCTTTTTTTTCAAGCACATTAATTAACAAGATAAAACCCATTTAGTAAATACCTTACTGATCATCATTGTTTGTCTTCAAAATGTCTCATTTTTTTTATTTGTTTTTGTCTTTAGAAAAAAAATTTTTTTTATGACATTTATATGTACAAAAAACTCCTATTTATTAAAAAAGCACTTACAATTGTAGACCCTCGAGACTATACACTATAAATGTAACATCCACAGCCATTATCTACTCTCATTTATGGTGTTACCCGTGTTACCAAGCAAATTCATTGATCAATGATACTTCTTTTTATGGAAGTTAAAGCATTCATGTCTTACAGACACTTTCTATTTTCCATCTTTTTATTTCCAATGATCTATAACTCAAATCACAGCCTGTCACTCTCTGTTTTGTAATATATGTCTTTGTATTTATTAGTCAACCACACAATCAGTACTGTAATCTAATTTTAAGTTACATAGAGATTATGAATATATATTGTGGGTATTTAAACTAAAGGATAGGTGAAAAGTGAACTAATCATCATTCAGACTGAGGTTATTGAAGAATATCATGTAGATATTTGGCAGATTAAAATGTGCTTTTTATGAAGAAGAAATAAAGTATAAAATAAAGTTCAGGCAGGTAAAGGACTAAATTGTCAAGTCATTAAAATCTTAACTTCACAGTATAGTATTTTTGAGTGAAAAGAAATTTTATTTTTTTATCAGTTTTTTTAAGATTGATCAAAGTATCAAGTTTGTAATTTGAAATTATAGAGATGAAAAGAAACCAAAGTTTCAGTTTTATGATTAAGTATTTCAAACAATGGACAAGTGTAACTGACAGAGATTTTAATTGGTTAATCTTTAGATATATGCAAATTAAATAAATTATTTGTTAATGAAATATGCTAATACTTATATCTGAGTACAAGGCAATGGATATCTTTATTGTATATGCTTTGACATTGTAGGGACATCACAGTTGTGATAACCCAGGCACTTATAATGTTATGCTATAGTATTTGCATGTTTGTATTGTGTTGTGATTCACATTTAATTTCTATAGATACTGTCGCATCAACGACAAGGTCACCCAGCTGGAGAGGATGCATGAGGATGTGAGTTATCCCCTCTTATTACAATGAAATTGCGCCCTTTGTAAATTACAGATACATGACTTTAGATGTTCATTTTTGATATCAGTGATCAGGAGAAAATTGCTAATCTAATTATTGAGGCTATACAGTGATTCGTTAGTGATCTGTTATCTCTTTATGTATGATAGGGTACTTAATGTATGATAGGGTCACTCTTTTGTGGGGATAGGAGGAAGGGGGAGGTTTGTTAGTGATCCCTTATCTAGTTATGTATGATAGGGTACTTAATGTATGATAGGGTCACTCTTTCGTGGGGATAGGAGGAAGGGGGAGGTTTGTTAGTGATCCCTTATCTAGTTATGTATGATAGGGTACTTAATGTATGATAGGGTCACTCTTTGGTGGGAATAGGAGGAAGGGGAGGGTACAAGCCAAAGTTGCTTTGGGTGCATGATTTCTGATACTAAAAGCCTAGTGAAGCAGATGAACCTACTATATGGGTGATAAATTTGTTGATAGTACCCTATTTCACTTAATAAGTGCCGCTTGCCTTAAAAGTATATCATTTATCCCATCTCTTTGGTGTGCTGGGAATGAAGATTAGCTACTTTTGAGTCTTCACTGATCTCCAAATACAATATTCAGACATTTAAATCTTTGCTTCCAAATTCCTACCCACCCACTTTTTAAGATGGTGGACAGTTGACTTTTGTTCAAACTTTAAATTGCATTCTTTTTTCTGCCACAATTTCATGTCTTAACACAATCCATGGCAAAAATGTTGCCTTTTTTCAATTCTTTCATAAAGTGTAGCCCTTGGGTGTTATAGGCACACTACCTTTATTCAGTTGAATATGGTAATCCATGATGATGAGATAAAACGTCTCATCATTATCACATGTATGCTTGTTGAAGCACTCTTTTGAAAATGATATCTACTCTATACAGTGGCTTTCATTTTATAGATTATATACAATGTGCTGTGACTAGTAAAGCTGCCGATAAATGATCAGTTATGAGGCTTGTTTTCCTCATGAATTTGGAGGCTCTAGGTTTGACTTCTGTGTAATTATCAAAAGAAAACATTCTAAACCAGTTTATCAGTAACTGAGAGTAAGATAATATCACATTTTATCATAGTTGTATTTGTGTAAAGTACAATACCTGTATGTTCGGTAATTATATATAAAATTGTTTATTTTTCTTGTTGGACTGTATTACTGTAATGTTTTAGAAGTGTTAATTAAAAATATTTGATTTGACAGAGGGTGGACACAGTACGACGAGCATTCAAACAACAGTTAGCAGATGCTATAGCCCGCATTACAGTGCTTTATAGTGTAAGTGACTACTCTGATAACATGAAATATCTGAGATGTATGAATGTGTGGAAAGTCTGAGAATATCTGAGATGTATGGATGTATGAAAAGTCTGAGAATATCTGAGATGTATAGATGTGTGGAAAGTCTGAGAATATCTGAGATGTATGAATGTGTGGAAAGTCTGAGAACATCTGAGATGTATGAATGTGTGGAAAGTCTGAGAACATCTGAGATGTATGAATGTGTGGAAAGTCTGAGAATATCTGAGATGTATGAATGTGTGGAAAGTCTGAGAACATCTGAGATGTATGAATGTGTGGAAAGTCTGAGAACATCTGAGATGTATGAATGTGTGGAAAGTCTGAGAACATCTGAGATGTATGGATGTGTGGAAAGTCTGAGAACATCTGAGATGTATGAATGTGTGGAAAGTCTGAGAATATCTGAGATGTATGAATGTGTGGAAAGTCTGAGAACATCTGAGATGTATGAATGTGTGGAAAGTCTGAGAACATCTGAGATGTATGAATGTGTGGAAAGTCTGAGAATATCTGAGATGTATAGATGTGTGGAAAGTCTGAGAACATCTGAGATGTATAGATGTGTGGAAAGTCTGAGAACATCTGAGATGTATGAATGTGTGGAAAGTCTGAGAATATCTGAGATGTATGAATGTGTGGAAAGTCTGAGAACATCTGAGATGTATGAATGTGTGGAAAGTCTGAGAATATCTGGGATGTATAGATGTGTGGAAAGTCTGAGAATATCCGAGATGTATGAATGTGTGGAAAGTCTGAGAACATCTGAGATGTATGGATGTGTGGAAAGTCTGAGAACATCTGAGATGTATGAATGTGTGGAAAGTCTGAGAACATCTGAGATGTATGAATGTGTGGAAAGTCTGAGAACATCTGAGATGTATAGATGTGTGGAAAGTCTGAGAATATCTGAGATGTATGAATGTGTGGAAAGTCTGAGAACATCTGAGATGTATGAATGTGTGGAAAGTCTGAGAACATCTGAGATGTATGAATGTGTGGAAAGTCTGAGAACATCTGAGATGTATAGATGTGTGGAAAGTCTGAGAATATCTGAGATGTATAGATGTGTGGAAAGTTTGAGAATATCTGAGATGTATGAATGTGTGGAAAGTCTGAGAACATCTGAGATGTATGAATGTGTGGAAAGTCTGAGAATATCTGAGATGTATAGATGTGTGGAAAGTCTGAGAACATCTGAGATGTATGAATGTGTGGAAAGTCTGAGAATATCTGAGATGTATGAATGTGTGGAAAGTCTGAGAACATCTGAGATGTATAGATGTGTGGAAAGTCTGAGAACATCTGAGATGTATGAATGTGTGGAAAGTCTGAGAACATCTGAGATGTATGAATGTGTGGAAAGTCTGAGATGTATAATGTGTGGAAAGTCTGAGATGTATATGAATGTGTGGAAAGTCTGAGAATATCTGAGATGTATGAATGTGTGGAAAGTCTGAGAACATCTGAGATGTATGAATGTGTGGAAAGTCTGAGAACATCTGAGATGTATGAATGTGTGGAAAGTCTGAGAACATCTGAGATGTATGAATGTGTGGAAAGTCTGAGAATATCTGAGATGTATAGATGTGTGGAAAGTCTGAGAACATCTGAGATGTATGAATGTGTGGAAAGTCTGAGAACATCTGAGATGTATGAATGTGTGGAAAGTCTGAGAATATCTGAGATGTATGAATGTGTGGAAAGTCTGAGAATATCTGAGATGTATGAATGTGTGGAAAGTCTGAGAACATCTGAGATGTATAAATGTGTGGAAAGTCTGAGAACATCTGAGATGTATGAATGTGTGGAAAGTCTGAGAACATCTGAGATGTATGAATGTGTGGAAAGTCTGAGAACATCTGAGATGTATGAATGTGTGGAAAGTCTGAGAACATCTGAGATGTATGAATGTGTGGAAAGTCTGAGAACATCTGAGATGTATGAATGTGTGGAAAGTCTGAGAACATCTGAGATGTATGAATGTGTGGAAAGTCTGAGAACATCTGAGATGTATGAATGTGTGGAAAGTCTGAGAACATCTGAGATGTATAAATGTGTGGAAAGTCTGAGAATATCTGAGATGTATGAATGTGTGGAAAGTCTGAGAACATATGAGATGTATGAATGTGTGGAAAGTCTGAGAATATCTGAGATGTATAGATGTGTGGAAAGTCTGAGAACATCTGAGATGTATAGATGTGTGGAAAGTCTGAGAACATCTGAGATGTATGAATGTGTGGAAAGTCTGAGAACATCTGAGATGTATGAATGTGTGGAAAGTCTGAGAACATCTGAGATGTATGAATGTGTGGAAAGTCTGAGAATATCTGAGATGTATAGATGTGTGGAAAGTCTGAGAATATCTGAGATGTATGAATGTGTGGAAAGTCTGAGAACATCTGAGATGTATGAATGTGTGGAAAGTCTGAGAACATCTGAATGTGATGTATGAATGTGTGGAAAGTCTGAGAACATCTGAGATGTATGGATGTGTGGAAAGTCTGAGAACATCTGAGATGTATGGATGTGTGGAAAGTCTGAGAACATCTGAGATGTATGGATGTGTGGAAAGTCTGAGAACATCTGAGATGTATAGATGTGTGGAAAGTCTGAGAATATCTGAGATGTATAGATGTGTGGAAAGTCTGAGAATATCTGAGATGTATGAATGTGTGGAAAGTCTGAGAACATCTGAGATGTATGAATGTGTGGAAAGTCTGAGAATATCTGAGTTGTATAGATGTGTGGAAAGTCTGAGAACATCTGAGATGTATGAATGTGTGGAAAGTCTGAGAATATCTGAGATGTATGAATGTGTGGAAAGTCTGAGAACATCTGAGATGTATGAATGTGTGGAAAGTCTGAGAACATCTGAGATGTATGAATGTGTGGAAAGTCTGAGAATATCTGAGATGTATAGATGTGTGGAAAGTCTGAGAACATCTGAGATGTATGAATGTGTGGAAAGTCTGAGAATATCTGAGATGTATAGATGTGTGGAAAGTCTGAGAACATCTGAGATGTATGAATGTGTGGAAAGTCTGAGAACATCTGAGATGTATGAATGTGTGGAAAGTCTGAGAATATCTGAGATGTATAAATGTGTGGAAAGTCTGAGAATATCTGAGATGTATGCATGTGTGGAAAGTCTGAGAACATCTGAAATGTATGAATGTGTGGGAAGTCTGAGAACATCTGAGATGTATAGATGTGTGGAAAGTCTGAGAATATCTGAGATGTATGAATGTGTGGAAAGTCTGAGAACATCTGAGATGTATGAATGTGTGGAAAGTCTGAGAACATCTGAGATGTATGAATGTGTGGAAAGTCTGAGAACATCTGAGATGTATGAATGTGTGGAAAGTCTGAGAACATCTGAGATGTATGAATGTGTGGAAAGTCTGAGAACATCTGAGATGTATGAATGTGTGGAAAGTCTGAGAACATCTGAGATGTATAGATGTGTGGAAAGTCTGAGAACATCTGAGATGTATGAATGTGTGGAAAGTCTGAGAACATCTGAGATGTATGAATGTGTGGAAAGTCTGAGAATATCTGAGATGTATAAATGTTTGGAAAGTCTGAGAATATCTGAGATGTATGAATGTGTGGAAAGTCTGAGAACATCTGAGATGTATGAATGTGTGGAAAGTCTGAGAATATCTGAGATGTATAGATGTGTGGAAAGTCTGAGAACATCTGAGATGTATAGATGTGTGGAAAGTCTGAGAACATCTGAGATGTATGGATGTGTGGAAAGTCTGAGAACATCTGAGATGTATGAATGTGTGGAAAGTCTGAGAACATCTGAGATGTATGAATGTGTGGAAAGTCTGAGAATATCTGAGATGTATAGATGTGTGGAAAGTCTGAGAATATCTGAGATGTATAGATGTGTGGAAAGTCTGAGAATATCTGAGATGTATGAATGTGTGGAAAGTCTGAGAACATCTGAGATGTATGGATGTGTGGAAAGTCTGAGAACATCTGAGATGTATGGATGTGTGGAAAGTCTGAGAACATCTGAGATGTATGGATGTGTGGAAAGTCTGAGAACATCTGAGATGTATGGATGTGTGGAAAGTCTGAGAACATCTGAGATGTATGGATGTGTGGAAAGTCTGAGAACATCTGAGATGTATGAATGTGTGGAAAGTCTGAGAACATCTGAGATGTATGAATGTGTGGAAAGTCTGAGAATATCTGAGATGTATGAATGTGTGGAAAGTCTGAGAACATCTGAGATGTATGAATGTGTGGAAAGTCTGAGAACATCTGAGATGTATGAATGTGTGGAAAGTCTGAGAATATCTGAGATGTATAGATGTGTGGAAAGTCTGAGAACATCTGAGATGTATGAATGTGTGGAAAGTCTGAGAATATCTGAGATGTGTGTATAGAATGTGTGGAAAGTCTGAGAACATCTGAGATGTATGAATGTGTGGAAAGTCTGAGAACATCTGAGATGTATGAATGTGTGGAAAGTCTGAGAATATCTGAGATGTATAAATGTGTGGAAAGTCTGAGAATATCTGAGATGTATGCATGTGTGGAAAGTCTGAGAACATCTGAGATGTATGAATGTGTGGGAAGTCTGAGAACATCTGAGATGTATAGATGTGTGGAAAGTCTGAGAATATCTGAGATGTATGAATGTGTGGAAAGTCTGAGAACATCTGAGATGTATGAATGTGTGGAAAGTCTGAGAACATCTGAGATGTATGAATGTGTGGAAAGTCTGAGAACATCTGAGATGTATGAATGTGTGGAAAGTCTGAGAACATCTGAGATGTATGAATGTGTGGAAAGTCTGAGAACATCTGAGATGTATGAATGTGTGGAAAGTCTGAGAACATCTGAGATGTATAGATGTGTGGAAAGTCTGAGAACATCTGAGATGTATGAATGTGTGGAAAGTCTGAGAACATCTGAGATGTATGAATGTGTGGAAAGTCTGAGAATATCTGAGATGTATAAATGTTTGGAAAGTCTGAGAATATCTGAGATGTATGAATGTGTGGAAAGTCTGAGAACATCTGAGATGTATGAATGTGTGGAAAGTCTGAGAATATCTGAGATGTATAGATGTGTGGAAAGTCTGAGAACATCTGAGATGTATAGATGTGTGGAAAGTCTGAGAACATCTGAGATGTATGGATGTGTGGAAAGTCTGAGAACATCTGAGATGTATGAATGTGTGGAAAGTCTGAGAACATCTGAGATGTATGAATGTGTGGAAAGTCTGAGAATATCTGAGATGTATAGATGTGTGGAAAGTCTGAGAATATCTGAGATGTATGAATGTGTGGAAAGTCTGAGAACATCTGAGATGTATGAATGTGTGGAAAGTCTGAGAATGTCCAAGATGTATAGATGTGTGGAAAGTCTGAGAACATCTGAGATGTATGAATGTGTGGAAAGTCTGAGAACATCTGAGATGTATAGATGTGTGGAAAGTCTGAGAATATCTGAGATGTATGAATGTGTGGAAAGTCTGAGAATATCTGAGATGTATAGATGTGTGGAAAGTCTGAGAACATCTGAGATGTATGGATGTGTGGAATGTCTGAGAATATCTGAGATGTATGGATGTGTGGAAAGTCTGAGAATATCTGAGATGTATAGATGTGTGGAAAGTCTGAGAACATCTGAGATGTATGAATGTGTGGAAAGTCTGAGAACATCTGAGATGTATGAATGTGTGGAAAGTCTGAGAACATCTGAGATGTATAGATGTGTGGAAAGTCTGCGAACATCTGAGATGTATAGATGTGTGGAAAGTCTGAGAATGTCCAAGATGGATATTTACATCTGCGATATAAATATTAATACATTCAAGAAGTACTCGGTGAAATAAGTAATTTTATAAATAAACAAACATCCACAATACAATGTCTTTAACCATGAAACATTATCTGTTTATATGTGTTATTGTTACCATCCAAGATATATTTAATAACAAATTATCTGAAGGGTTTTTTATATTATTATTTTTTTTAACGATCAATGTAAAAGAGATGTTATTCAGAATTTTTACAACTCATTTTTAATAATTAATACTAACCCATAAAACTCTATGAGTCATAATATATCAAAAGCTAAAATATTGAGAAATCAGTTAAGATTTGGTATGCATAGATAAAAAAAAACACTTAAAATTTGAAGGTAAAGAATGTTCAGGTAGACAGTAGAGATCAGAAACATACAAATGTAACAAAATCTGTTCTGTAGAAAAATATGGAGAGCAAGATTCAGCGTGAAAAAAACAAGCGTGCAAATGATAAAGACAAACTTGGGGAACAGTACAAGGAAATGCAAGCGACAATACAGCGAAGCGAACAGGTGATCTCCATGTTAAAGATGCAGTTGGCACACTACCAGCAGCAGCAAAAGACCATCGAAATGGAAAGTGTAAGTAAACAAGTGGCAATTTCATTATATTACTCCATGAAATTACATTTTGTATTTAATTCCATTTGAATGGTAAGTAAAACACTTTTGTTCTGCAGAAAGGAAAATGTTAGTACATATGTACAGGTGACAATCTCACTAATTTATTGCGTGGACATGTAATATACAGGTGAGAGTTTTACTAGTTGTCTGGATGGATGTAAAGGCTTAACTTGTGATTATGGAACTAAGAATTTTGGAGACACTTCAGATTTTATCAATGAATACCAATGTATTCCATTCTTAGTAGGTTTTTGAAGATTTTTTTCAAATACATGATATTGGTGTAATTGCCATGATAACCTCATCGTTTTCAGAAATTGAACTTCTGATTCTAAAGAAGGTCGATACATATGTCTCCTTGATTTATATAAGTTAGCATTTTATTCAGCAAGCAACCTTTAGAACTGTGCTATATATTTAACATTTTCAATTAAACGAAACATAAATCATTACAGTTAACTATGTTTCAGCTAGATGGAAAAAAATGTAAGAATTGATGTATGATTTATTAATTCCAATTTGTAAAATTTGAATGTAATGTAATACCTGTAGAGTTGTAAATGTTTTTGTTATTTTTCGCCACATTTTCATTTTGAGTCTGTTTCTATAGCCGGCCCCTTCAGACAGACCATCCAATCGGACACCTTCATCACTTGTGTCTTCGGTAAAACATCCAATGATATTTCTATAACCCTAACCCTCTGTCTCCATGGTGATTGTAACCACCAAAGTCATTTAAAACCTTGTTCTGATTGGTCGGTTGTGGTTTATAACAATAGAGTGGACTGAATACTAGCCAATATATGTGCATGACTCCATCTACCTCACATTTATAAATTGTAAAAGTTTTTATATTACCATCCCTCACATGTTCTTATAATCACTGTCATTGTAGGTTCTTTAGATATAAGTACAATAACCAACATCTTTTTCTTTAGGGTCATTCATCTGTTTTAATCCCTGTTTTTCTTTTCTTTTTTAAATCACTTATTTTCTTTTCTTTTTTTTTCAATTTAATTGAAATAAATTTCAACAAATTTTAGTGACATCAAAATTTTCTGCTTGAATAACACAAATGAAATGGTAATAACTTTTATCTAATTACAAATTAAAAAAGTATGGAAGTGACAAATCTCCTTTATATATACATGTGACTACATGTATATAAACATTAGGTATTGGTTCAAGTCATTATACTAAAAAATAAACATTTAGAAGTTTATGTACTCTGTTGATTCTGTCACATGACATATCAATAAAAAATTATTGAGACTGCTACCAAATTTGTTAGAGATCCCCACTTCATATTTATATACTGTTATAGGAAATGTAGATGGTACAGTATTTGAGATGTAATGAGATAAGTAATTAATGTATGTGTGGGTTTCCACTGAAAATTAACTGTAAAATGATTTTTACATAGTTATAATTTTAGGTCCCAATCAGTCCTGAGATATTTATTTGGCAAGAATCCTACCCCAGGTAATAAGCCCACTCATATGTATCAAAATGTCATTGACATACAAAAGTAGTTTCACGTCCCTTATTTTTTCCAGGGGTTATGTAGTGGCCCAGGATTAATTATAGGATAAACAGAGTATTAAAAGATATATGTATTTTATACTTTCATTGCTTTAATTTTGATATAAAGTTGGCATCAGCAACTTACAGAATCTGTTTTAGATTTTACCACATCAGTAAAAATTATGCATGCATTGACTGTGTATCTTATAAACTGATAGATAAGCAACTGCATGCTTTCAGTAAGATAAAGAGTTTTGTAATTTGTCCTTGTTTTATGAAGCTATTGCTAATATTAATATGAATAATAATTTCATCATGTAATTTTTACCATCCCTCATGTGGTCTTGCATGTCTTGATTAAACTGGTTGGTGGTGTTTGATCTCCTTATTTCAGCTTTCTTTTAATTAATATTTAAAAAGAAAAAAACATTTATATATTGAATTTATGTATTTGACTTCCATCAAAAAATTAATTATCACAGTATCTATTTTCTTCACATTAAAGACAAAAATGTATTATATTATGTCTAGACAATGGTTTACAAAACATACATACATCTGAATTCCTGCCATTCTATTGGAAATTACTGATTTTACATAAGTGTGTATGATTTTATCAGTTTTCACATATGATTTACTCATTCTGCACTTTATTTCACAGCCTTTTTTTCCAGCCATGTTTGGATCCTTTACTAACAGTCAAAGGTTTTTGTTTTGTTTGCAGAAGAAAGATTCTTCCAAGGCTCCTACCACACCTGTTGCCCATCAGACCCCTGCAAACCCTACCCCACAGGTCCCAATAATGATTCCAGTCCCCAGCCCCTCACCTGTACCTCCTCAGACACTCCAACCCTCTCCTCTCCCTCCTCCCACTCCTGTGGCACCCTCTAGCCCCAAACAAGCACCCTTGCCCCAGCCTCCACCAGCACCAATCACTGTGGTAAGACCTCTCACTGTCAGGTGTGACGTAACACTGCCACTAACATTGTGTTATCTATTTGTCTACTCAAGCTATCATTAATGTTACACTGTATGTTAGGGTCATGAATATCAAAGAAAAGGATTCTATCTAGATTTGTATCATGAATATATAGGGTATAACATTGAATTGTAGATGTCATCAATGTATCCTGGAATTTTAAATGTAGGATTACATCATCATAATCTTGTACAACACTGTGAAATGTTTTCTCTTCAGAACACGCTATGGTTTAAATCAGGTAGAGCTACTCAGTCAATGAAATTAGTTACATTTCAAGTTTGGGAATTACAATAAAAATTATTTCAATGTTTTGAATCTTAGACAAATCCTAGACCACAGATTATTGTTGAAAAGTTTAGGATTAATGTGTTGATGAATTTTAAAGTATTTAGGATTTGATTGTGATGATGTGTTGTAATTTGCAGTGTTGATGTTTATTTGTATACAAAAGTCAGATAAATCAGCAGTGAATTAAGATATAGTAATTACGGGTTGTTTTAGGTTGGTTTCAATGAATTCCATAGTTAAAAGGAAGGAAAACCAAGATTCTATATCCTTTTTATTGTTACTTTTTTGATATGCAATCCTTCATTACAAGATCACCATGTGATTCTGTTAGCTGGATGTGCTGTAATATCATAACTCAGGTTCGGTTGAAAGATAGTGATCATGCTCAAAAGGATATGCCAAATTTTATTTGTGCAGTGAAATAGCAAAAAAAATTAAAATAATGCCCAAAAGCATTAAATATGATATCTAAATTAAGATTTCTTTATTAATCTAAATGATATCAATAAGTGCTTCCCTAAATATGTGTGTAGATTACTTTAACAACAGATGTAAATATGTGAATAACAAACCTTTGATTGTGTTGCTTGACAGGCTAAAACATATATATTTGGTGTGAGAAAATTTATGACATACAATGTTTGTATAATCGGGATCTGATGTCTTATGTATCTTTATCATATATATGTGTGTTCTTGTTTGCAAAGTAATTAATATGATATAAGAGAATGACATCAGGATATTCCTGTTTTAGACATCATAATATCCACCATGTATACAGATAAGGTAGGCATCATAATATCCACCATGTATACAGATAAGGTAGGCAACATAATATCCACCATGTATACAGATAAAGTAGGCATCATAATATCCACCATGTATACAGATAAGGTAGACATCATGATATCTAAGGTAGGCATCATAAATCCATCATGTATACAGATAAGGTAAACATCATAATATCAAAGGTAGGCATCATTATATCCATCATGTATACAGATAAGGTAGGCATCATAATATCTAAGGTAGGCATCATAATATCCACCATGTATACAGATAATGTAGGCATCATAATATCCACCATGTATACAGATAAGGTAGGCATCATGATATCCACCATGTATACAGGTAAGGTAGGCATTATAATATCCACCATGTATACAGAAAAGGTAGGCATCATAATATCCACCATGTATACAGATAAGGTAGGCATCATAATATCTAAGGTAGGCATCAAAATATCCACCATGTATACAGAAAAAGTAGGCATCATGATATCCACCATGTATACAGATAAGGTAGGCATCATGATATCTACATGTATACAGATAAAGTAGGCATCATAATATCTAAGGTAGGCATCATAATATCCATCATGTATACAGATAATGTAGGCATCATAATATCCACCATGTATACAGATAAGGTAGGCATCATGATATCCACCATGTATACAGATAAGGTAGGCATCATAATATCCACCATGTATACAGATAAGGTAGACATCATAATATCTAAGGTAGGCATCATAATATCCATCATGTACACAGATAAGATAGGCATCATAATATCCATCATGTATACAGATAATACAGGCATCTTAATATCCATCATGTATACAGATAATGCAGGCATCATAATATCCACTATGTATACAGATAATATAGGCATCATAATATCCATCATGTATATAGGTACTCATGATAATGACAGTGTTTTTATATGCTCCCTCCTGCCTTTCTATATCAGAATATTTAACTTACGGAAATGTATGTTAATTTATTACTTTTTGTTATTTGTAAATATGTGTATTTAATTAACCACACTTAAAATGTCCTATGATAAACACACTGATATCAAGAGACCATCTGAGTACAGTCTGAGATATATTATTCACTTGTAAAACACATGCTTACAAACTTTATTGCATAGAATGTACCTGTCTAGTACATATGTATGTCAAGATTTAAGTAATGGCAGTGCAATTGGTTTCTACAAATACAAAGTGTACTGGAAATAGATAAGTGTGTTTCTGTTATAAGTGGTTACACTGTGTTGTTATCAAACATTTCACAAATGGACTGAGGACACTTATTCTGAGCGGGAATTAGGGTATTGATAATGGCTATATATGTACCAACTTGTGTTAATAGAAACATGATCACTGATTTTAACCACCAGGTGGAGGAACTTTCTATCAAATCCAAGTCTCCTGAAATCAATCCCGAACTTGAGGAACTCCGAGAGGAGGTTGGTGGACTGTCAAGGAAAATTAGCAAACTGGAGAAAAGTATTGATGCTAAGGATGAGAATATTACAGGGCTAAGTATGTATGTTCATTATCATATAATATCATACATGTTTAGTATATACCTTAAGTGTACACTAAGTCATTTGTATAAGTGTAATTTGAAACACAATTTTTTATCAAATTGCTGCACTCATTAGTTTCTTTGTTGTGTGAAAACACAGTAGGTATAGATGTCAAGTGTATTCCTAAAACTCAATGATATCATATACAATATACTGATGCTAACTTATGAATGTTATTTTAAACCTGACACAAGGTTTTTCTAATATCTATTTTCAAGCTTTTAAACAATAAACAATGAGAGAAATACTTTGTTATCATATGTATATATATTTTATATCCTTTTGTGTTTGTTGTTAACTAGCATAAAGTTTTGTTAATGATTGCTATTAATGCACTGTTCAAATGAATAAGTACTTTTTTTTTAACAAATAACAGATCAAGAAATAGCAAAACTAAAAGAGATGCTAGAGAATGAGAAATCATTGTCAGAGCAAGTAAGTAACTCAAACCGCTATTCATAGTTCTCCTTGAATTAGTTAATATGACCTGCTAATTTCCCGAATCTTTAAAACTGTGATTTTGAGAATTTTGTAATTAACACCACTACTGAGAGAACACTCTTTCAATCAATGTCAGAATTTAATTCTCTACAATTTTTTCATTAAATTAGTTTAAAAAGGAGACTGAGACAATGAAAGCCAATGCTGCACAGGAACAGGCCTCCTCTAAAAGACTTGTAAGTATAGTTATCTCCCTTGGTACTGTGCAAAACAGCTGATGTATATTTACAGTCTTTGTTGAGTATTGATTTTTTTTTTATTTTGCTTTAATGTTTGTTTTTGTTGACATTCAATATTTTGTTGAGTTGAGCATTGTTTATTTGTACAAATACATGTAACATTTTTATTACTTTTTTGTTATTGTTGTAACTGTTTTCATTCCTTATAGTTTTAAATGCACTATGATCTTTCATTTCTATAAATGCTGTATATCTTCAATCAGTCAAAACAAATAGATTTTTCTTCAGTAAAATGCACTTATAAGCTAAATAATTATTTTCAGTATTTTATTTTTATGAACCTGTTATTCTTAATACATTTTGATTAAATACATCTCTATAGTGTCATGAAAGTGATAAATGGAACTATTATCCTAATCATTTATAAGAGAGTTGAAATTATATTCAACAATAATCTCTATTTTCTCATTTGCTTTCAGTGATAACACATTTACTTTTCAGAATATGCTTATAGAAAGTTCTATGAATAGTCATCAGGTTGCTATTAACTTTTTTTTCTTTTTCTGTTAATTTCCCATATTGACTGTAAACAAATGCATGTGTATATTGATTAGATGTGGTGGTGTAAGTTTTATTTCTCCTTGTGGAATTGTTTCTTGCAAATATGAATATGTCTCTCTTTTCTTTATTTTTATCAAAGTTTTAAGTGCTGTGATTCTTTTCAAATCTTGGCTGGGCTGTCATTTTACATTTGACAATTGAAGGAGGCCTTGCTGATCAGTTTTGAAGTTTAAAGGGCATGTCCTGTAGGCTTATTAATGCTATTGTCTGGTTACTGATATATCAATACCATCAGACATACAAAGATCAATTAGAATAATCCACTGGTTAGTATGTTCCATCACTCCTGATGATATTGTGGCCAAGTATGAACACAAAGGATTTTTTCTGTTATTCAGCAAATCAAGTTTTGTCAATAGGTATTCAGGAACAGCTGTATGATTAATTCATTGCTTGGCTCTCTAATATCTTATCTAAATTTGTATCGAATGGTGTCTTTTGTACAATCTCATAGGGTTGTGGAGCTTTATGGTTTATGTTGCATATGTGTTCTTTGTTTGTATTGTGTCATGTTCATTTAAGTTGTATAAATCCAATAGTGGAAGACTCCAGTGTTAAATGGGGATAGGTTTCTCTTTGATCATTCAATTTCCGTATTATTATAGTGGACTTACACTTTACCCTTCACATTCCCATCAGTGTCATTGATATACAACATAGGCCTGGTAATGTGGCTAACATGGCATATCTATTGTTGTGTTACAGGCAGAAGAAATGGTAAAGAATATGTGCTGTGTTTATTGTGTTCTTTGCTTGTTAGGATATTTGTAGCCACTAACAATTAGTAACAATTGATGGCTAGACACCAAACATGATCTACCAATTGATAAACATCTTCTTACATTAAACAATAAAACTAATCCTCATTCAATCACACCAATAAACTATCAACCTACTAATCCAAAGATGTCATGTAGTATTTCATTGTTCCAATTGATTCAAATCACAAGACATATTTTGTTCAACCTGCCAAAATTTGATCTAAATTCAGGAAGAAAGGAAGGTCAGACATGAAAACATTTTTTGTTGTTGGAATAAACATTATATTGGGAATCAATTCCAAGAGCACAGTATTTCAATCGTATACAAAATTTACATCAGTATTTTAATAAGACAATCAACTGCTATGAGTTTTTTTAATAGTGCAGTGATGATATTATATAAACAGACTGTGTTGAGAGACAATATTCCAGCCTGTACATCAGTATTATATAAACAGACTGTGTTGAGAGACAATATTCCAGCCTGTACATCAGTACTATATAAACAGACTGTGTTGAGAGAAAATACTCCAGTCTGTACATCAGTACTATATAAACAGACTGTGTTGAGAGACAATATTCCAGTCTGTACATCAGTACTATATAAACAGACTGTGTTGAGAGACAATATTCCAGCCTGTACATCAGTACTATATAAATAGACTGTGTTGAGAGACAATACTCCAGCCTATACATCAGTACTATATAAACAGACTGTGTTGAGAGACAATATTCCAGTCTGTACATCAGTACTATATAAACAGACTGTGTTGAGAGACAATACTCAAGCCTGTACAGCAGTACTATATAAACAGACTGTGTTGAGAGAAAATATTCCAGCCTGTACATCAGTACTATATAAACAGACTGTGTTGAGAGACAATACTCCAGTCTGTACATCAGTACAATATAAACAGACTTTGTTGAGAGACAATATTCCAGCCTGTACATCAGTATTATATAAATAGACTGTGTTGAGAGACAATACTCCAGCCTGTACATCAGTACTATATAAACAGACTGTGTTGAGAGACAATATTCCAGCCTGTACATCAGTACTATATAAACAGACTGAGTTGAGAGACAATATTCCAGCCTGTACATCAGTATTATATAAACAGACTATATTCCAGCCTGTACATCAGTACTATATAAACAGACTGTGTTGAGAGACAATACTCCAGTCTGTACCTCAGTACTATATAAACAGACTGTGTTGAGAGACAATACTCCAGCCTGTACATCAGTATTATATAAACAGACTGTGTTTAGAGACAATATTCCAGCCTGTACATCAGTATTATATCAACAGACTGTGTTGAGAGACTATTCCAGTCTGTACATCAGTATTATATAAACAGACTGTGTTGAGAGACAATATTCCAGCATGTACATCAGTATTATATAAACAGACTGTGTTTAGAGACAATATTCCAGCCTGTACATCAGTATTATATAAACAGACTGTGTTGAGAGACAATATTCCAGTCGGTACATCAGTATTATATAAACAAAGGGTGTTGAGAGACAATATTCCAGCCTGTACATCAGTACTATATAAACAGACTGTGTTGAGAGGCAATATTCCAGCCTGTACATCAGTACTATATGAACAGACTGTGTTGAGAGACAATATTCCAGTCTGTACATCAGTATTATATAAACAGACTGTATTCCAGCTTGTACATTCCAGTCTCTACATCAGTACTATATAAACAGACTGTGTTGAGAGACAATACTCCAGCCTGTACATCAGTACTATATAAACAGACTGTGTTGAGAGAAAATATTCCAGCCTGTACATCAGTACTATATAAACAGACTGTGTTGAGAGACAATATTCCAGCCTGTACATCAGTAATATATAAACAGACTGTGTTGAGACACAATACTTCAGCCTGTACATCAGTATTATATAAACAGACTGTGTTGAGAGACAATATTCCAGCCTGTACATCAGTATTATATAAACAGACTGTGTTAAGAGACAATATTCCAATCGGTACATCAGTATTATATAAACAAAGGGTGTTGAGAGACAATATTCCAGCCTGTACATCAGTACTATATAAACAGACTGTGTTGAGAGGCAATATTCCAGCCTGTACATCAGTACTATATGAACAGACTGTGTTGAGAGACAATATTCCAGTCTGTACATCAGTACTATATAAACAGACTGTGTTGAGAGACAATACTCAAGCCTGTACAGCAGTACTATATAAACAGACTGTGTTGAGAGAAAATATTCCAGCCTGTACATCAGTACTATATAAACAGACTGTGTTGAGAGACAATACTCCAGTCTGTACATCAGTACAATATAAACAGACTTTGTTGAGAGACAATATTCCAGTCTGTACATCAGTATTATATAAATAGACTGTGTTGAGAGACAATACTCCAGCCTGTACATCAGTACTATATAAACAGACTGTGTTGAGAGACAATATTCCAGCCTGTACATCAGTATTATATAAATAGACTGTGTTGAGAGACAATACTCCAGCCTGTACATCAGTACTATATAAACAGACTGAGTTGAGAGACAATATTCCAGCCTGTACATCAGTATTATATAAACAGACTGTGTTGAGAGACAATATTCCAGTCGGTACATCAGTATTATATAAACAAAGGGTGTTGAGAGGCAATATTCCAGCCTGTACATCAGTACTATATAAACAGACTGTGTTGAGAGGCAATATTCCAGCCTGTACATCAGTACTATATGAACAGACTGTGTTGAGAGACAATATTCCAGTCTGTACATCAGTATTATATAAACAGACTGTATTCCAGCTTGTACATTCCAGTCTCTACATCAGTACTATATAAATAGACTGTGTTGAGAGACAATACTCCAGCCTGTACATCAGTACTATATAAACAGACTGTGTTGAGAGAAAATATTCCAGCCTGTACATCAGTACTATATAAACAGACTGTGTTGAGAGACAATATTCCAGCCTGTACATCAGTAATATATAAACAGACTGTGTTGAGACACAATACTCCAGCCTGTACATCAGTATTATATAAACAGACTGTGTTGAGAGACAATATTCCAGCCTGTACATCAGTATTATATAAATAGACTGTGTTGAGAGACAATACTCCAGCCTGTACATCAGTACTATATAAACAGACTGTGTTGAGAGACAATATTCCAGCCTGTACATCAGTATTATATAAATAGACTGTGTTGAGAGACAATACTCCAGCCTGTACATCAGTACTATATAAACAGACTGAGTTGAGAGACAATATTCCAGCCTGTACATCAGTATTATATAAACAGACTATATTCCAGCCTGTACATCAGTACTATATAAACAGACTGTGTTGAGAGACAATACTCCAGTCTGTACCTCAGTACTATATAAACAGACTGTGTTGAGAGACAATACTCCAGCCTGTACATCAGTATTATATAAACAGACTGTGTTTAGAGACAATATTCCAGCCTGTACATCAGTATTATATCAACAGACTGTGTTGAGAGACTATTCCAGTCTGTACATCAGTATTATATAAACAGACTGTGTTGAGAGCAATATTCCAGCATGTACATCAGTATTATATTATATTCCAGCCTGTACATCAGTATTATATAAACAGACTGTGTTGAGAGACAATATTCCAGCCTGTACATCAGTACTATATAAACAGACTGTGTTGAGAGACAATATTCCAGTCTCTACATCAGTATTATATAAACAGACTGTATTCCAGCTTGTACATTCCAGTCTGTACATCAGTACTATATAAACAGACTGTGTTGAGAGACAATACTCCAGCCTGTACATCAGTACAATATAAACAGACTGTGTTGAGAGAAAATATTCCAGCCTGTACATCAGTACTATATAAACAGACTGTGTTGAGAGACAATATTAAAAAGTCTGTACATCAGTACTATATAAACAGACTGTGTTGAGAGACAATATTCCAGCCTGTACATCAGTAATATATAAACAGACTGTGTTGAGACACAATACTCCAGCCTGTACATCAGTATTATATAAACAGACTGTGTTGAGAGACAATATTCCAGCCTGTACATCAGTATTATATAAACAGACTGTGTTGAGAGACAATACTCCAGTCTGTACATCAGTATTATATTAACAGACTGTGTTGAGAGACTATTCC